CTAAAGTCTATATGGTATAGGTGCGAGTGGAAAAATATCGATCATCTGCGCAAAAACAAGGGCGAGTCTCAAGGTCCAGCGGGGTGTACGTGACCACGAGTTGCTATTTCTCTCTCGACTGTGTGCAATGAGCGAGCAATCGCTGAAAAATTCAAGCCTGTTTACGGATGGACAGCTGGCTCTACCTGACGTCCAGTGCCATTTGCTCTTTTGAACTTGAAAAATGAAAAAAATACAATGGCGTAATTTTTTTTTTTTTTTTTTTTTTTTTTTTACTACCGATCGCGATATCGGTATGCATTTAAACTACGTTGATTACTTATTTCAAGTAAATGACGTGGGTATCGACAGCCACTTTGACGATGTACTTACCGATTCTGAGGTGGAACTGTTGCACAAAAGAGCGTGTGTCTTGGAGACATCGACAACGATACCGATCACTGAGGGGTGCATCCGAACAGAAAATGACTCTTATAACATTAAATGCTTTCTAAAAGCCACGAATCGATTTAAAGAGAAAAAAAAGCAAATACACACGTGCGCTTGACATTTTCATTTTTTTTTTTTTTTTTCCTGTACACGCAGCTAATATGGGTGTGCTTTTTTTTCACAAAGTATAATGAATGAGAATCAAGTGGATTTCCGCGTATACGGAAGCCGTTAGAATCATTGCGGGTTAACATGTCAGCGGGAGCTGGTTAGGCTCTCGTGACGCCACCGATCGCAATTTATCAAGCTGACGTCAGTTTATTATACGCTTACGCTCCTTGTTTATGTGTTGCATGGAAAAATGTACGCGTGTGCGTGGGTTTAAGTTCCCATGGAAACTTTTATTGTTTATGTGTTGTTTTTTTTCCTTCTTTCTTTTTTTTTCAATGGTAAAAATCGTTACAATATTTAGCGCGACATTAATATCGAGTATACACACCCGAAAACCTCCATATCATGTGAATAGAAGAGGTAACCCAGAGTTCGACTCTATATATTTATGTAAACGGACTATTTAACTTTTCCAAGTAAATAACGCGATATGTAGGTGGTATACTGTACGTGATATCTATGTATTTACAACATTTCTTTTTTTTTTTTTGGATGGATGAATCGAAGCATGGGTCCGTAGACACAACAAAAGTACCTCTTGACGCTGTGAGAACAAGGAGAAGAAGATATTACACTGACTATATTGTATACTTATACATATATATATGTATACGTATGTGCATAAAAACGCTCTCTGTGCACGTGTGAGAAAAAAAACGATATGCTTTCGATGTAACGCGTATAAGGTGTACGTGTGTGGTATTTAGTTTGATTCTTAGAACGGAGATTACGAGCTCGTATACGTTGAGATGACGAGAAAAAAAAAAAAAAAAGAAAAAAATCAAAGACCATCTAAAATGTTTACCGATTAGTCAACGTGTCGAGCAAACCGAGAGCTTTTTCTCTCACATTGTATACCGATATCGCGATCAAAAGGTTTGAAAGGGTGTAGTTTCATGTTGTTTATCTCCACCTGGTATATATATGTCAAGTAACAAAGGAAAAAAAAAATAAAAAAGATGAGAATCCGTTGCACTGTAGGACAGACAATATACGATCGTTACTCAACTTTCCCCCGCGAAAAATACACCCCCCCCCCCCCCNTTCTTTTTTTTTTTTTTTTTTTTTTTTTTTTTTTTTTTTTTTATTGGTATTGCACGGAACTCACTTATTCGATACCTATGTGTATACACATGATGATAATTAAGACGTGCACGGAGGATAAGACGCTAAAGGTACTACAGACGCATTATGCAGAGTTTCCTGGAAAAATGTTGTCGAGTACGTGCGGATTATATTTATTTACGAGGAAAGCATCACCTCTGCATAGGCGCCTACTTGTAATGTGTGTACTAGCGATTTAATTTGAAAGAAGAATTTATAGTATCTATGTATACTCTAATTGTCAGATTTGGTGTACACTTGGGATATATTGTGTATCGCTAAAAAAATTCGCGACCCGTGTACCATCCAAAGGTTCCAAATCGTGGAAATAGTCGCATATATATACTTATGAAACTAAACCAATAGCAAAAGTGACAAAAACGCGATGCACAGAAGCGTCGCAGAGCTGATGAATTGAAACTTGTGGCCGTACATCATCGGAGACAAAGTATGGATTGAATTCAACTCAAATCCATAGTTATGAACCTTTAAAGCCACCAAAGTCAACAGTGAACGCACGCGGCTTGCAACGCGCGCGTCCTACCAAACTCGGCTGTTTCTACTTGCGCAACCTTACAGCAAACCATTGCCTTTTGATTTCCACGAAGTATATCTTGGCGGGGCTCGTTGATTATTTGCCGTCGAAATAGCAACGCGAGCCACTGGAATTCCAGGGATGAAACGTCCAATTTTTTTTCTCCCTCCACCCCAGGTGCAAACGCATACTTATTGGCGAAAAAACATCGCTTCGTTGGACGCTGCGTACTTAATACGCATCGCACGAGGATTCGCTCAATGTCTCCAAGTTTTAACGAGTCAATTACAAAGTTTGTCAAACCGATACTCGGGAACTCGTATGTATACCAAGTAGAGGGGGTTCAGCCGTGACAAACGCGAAATACCGAAATCCTCGCAGTGCTCGAAGAAAAAAAAAAAAAAAAAAAAAAAAGTCTACCCAATCTTTGGCCTCCCTCTCCTTCTCTCTTCGATCATCGCACGCTCAATTTGATTTCGCGTATGTAAACGATCTCCCCCCCCTCTCGGCTATAAATAACGCCGGCTTGTGAGGCGTAAACCGGCCTTCTTCTTGAACTTGTGCAAGCGTCCGACGAAATATAGGAAGCGGCGTGCTTAAGCCGGCGAGTATGTGTGTGTTTGGGTCATTGGGGAAAGTCGATCGAGTCCGAAATCAAGCTTAGACATTTGTTTTTTTCGTACCATTAAAAAAAAAAAATTCTATGAAAATAACAAAATGGTAGGAGTATTGTAGAGTGGTCGCGTGGATATGCAGTTGCAGAGTACAGTAAATACCTGTACGTTTATAGAAGCGAAAATTTTCATCGATGGGACAAGCATTTAAATGTACATGAATCCGTCTTTTTACACAACGTTTATTAAAAATTATAGAACGAAGAAAACGCGTAGCAAAGGTAAAAAAATGTATTTCTTACTTCAAAGTGATTCGTTTTTTTTGTCACGGAAAAAAGAAAATCTCATCTAAAAATCGCTTGCGCTTCGATTCAACTTGAAAATTACTTTTCGAGTCGAGCAAACGCACCGACGAGGAGGGAGGGAAAAAAAAATGTCACTTGGAATTGAAATTACAAATCCACCCGAAAATAAAAATAGTATCTATACGGCGATGCAGCCCACGAATGGAACGACCGCGTAAACCGAGTATTCACCCCACGCGGGAGGATCCTCGCAGCTTCTACGCCTCTGTACGGCAACGCTTTTCACCTCAAGGTCAACCGAGCGCTCCCTCCATATCTCTACTCGTTTGTTACGCACCTGCGCTGTGGGCGCTCGTTCGAGGGTTAACCGTTTTTTTTTTTTTTTTTCCTTTTCTCCGCGACAAAACCAAACGGAACAACACGGAGTTTAGCTTAAACGAGACTATTGGTCGACCGATCGGTTTTTTTTTTTGTTTTTTTTTTGCGGTGTATCAGAAAAAAAAACCCCATATACCTGTAAGAAGTGCAGACCAGGAGTCGACACTCGGTTCTCGAGTGTGAGTGTAAATAAAAAAAAAGAAGGCGAAGGTTACTCGAAAAGGGGTAAAAACTTGGGAGAGAGGGGGGGGGGAAATTTTGACGGTCATATTCGCTCGTAGCTGATGAATTACGCATGAGCCGAGGGCGAAGAAATCCTCCCCGAGTGTATCTACTGTCGCCAGCGCGGCTGAAGTGAAGACATATTCGCGGAACGAGCTTGCGGTAAGCTATAAACTCTTCACGGTTCGATAAGTCGTTAGTATTTGAAATACAGTACTTTACAAGTATTAGGCGCAAACAATTTTTATATGGATCACAGATAATTTAAATTTGAATATTTTACAGTAGATCATCAAAAACAAATGTACTACACGTTCTGATTTTAACTTGCATTGGCCTCATCAGGTCAAATATACAATACGTGAATTACAACAGCCAGGGATCAACAAGTTATAAGTATACATATGTGCATAAACGTGACCTGAGGGGGGTTGTAGAAATCGGCAAAACTTTGTGACAATGAACAAACATCTTTGACATTGTCAACGTATATAATATTAATTTTCGACAACCTGGAAGATCTATAAAACATTAAGGCTTTAATATTATACACTATCGAAGGGGAGGACAAAAATATACTATTGTTCGATAAAAAAAATAATAAATAGCGTACAATTTATGTTAACAAAAAAAAAAAAAAAAAAAAAAAATAGTAGTTTCATATCACTAAAGAGGTTGTTTACATGAAAAGTGTGGGTGGGGGCATGGTATGATCACGAGCATTATTTATTTACGTTCAGGTTGCTATTTTTGTAAAACCCTCACGCAGGATGGACGTGAAATTAGATAGCGGGGTAATCCACGCTGAACTACAACTCAATTTTATCGCCCAATTAAAGGGAGCGAAACGCAAAATTAATTGCTTGGTACATAAGGACCACGTACACTATACACGCGTGATAATAATAATACTTGAAGATGAGAGAACCACCTATGCGTGGGTCGGCTTATATATATAAATATGTAGCTGCCAGGAGCGCATAAATTGTCACTATCAGTGGGCGTGCAGACTCTGCACCGAATACTCGAGGGTGAAAAGTAAAAGGGAGAAATATTCGTATTTTTTCATTGTGAGGTTTTTCGATTCTTCCATACAAATCCGTTTGGTTTTTGTTCCTAAATCCATATGACTGTATTTAACAGAAAGAGAGGGAGAAAGATATAAAAAAAGGGTTGTAATTATATTCCTTAAATTTAATAATGTTTTAAAAACATTTTGTGATTTTTCTTATTTTATTACAGAATTGGAATGGAGGGTAGGTTCCAGACCAAGGGCGGTGAAGGTGACGGCAACGACCTGATCACAATGAACAACAAGAAGCCGCCGATGACGCTCAACGTCAACGGCCTCTGGGACGTGGTACCCAGACTGGATCACTACAGGTATTGCGAACTCGTTTATTGTTTAATTTTTTTTTTTTTTTTGTTCTGTTTTATCTATTACAAACAAATAATACTGTTTGTTATGAAATGTGATGAGGAGCCTGGCAACTGAGTATTACGTAAATCGAGAGTCCACCCCATTACCTTTCTGTTTAGGCTTTCGTGAGTTGTAGCGTGGTATATTACGTGCAGCACGCATTTCGAAAAGTACAATGTAAGTAGCAGTATAAGTACACCGGGAGGTGTGTGCGCACGCGATATGCGGACCCGTCTTACCTAACGCGGGTTTCATCTACTTGAACGACAAACTCCGCTGTATCTACTACCTGTTATATATTTTCTCGGTGTTTCATAATTGGTTTTTTTTTTTTTTTTTTTTTTTTTAATTTGACAAAAGATAATTGTTCTTGTGACATGAAAATCGTCGGCATTACGGGGAATTTAAAAATTAATTTAATTGCAAGGGCTGATCGGCGAAGACGATAAGATTTTGCTTCCTTGTTGATCCGCCCGACTCGATTACACGAGTTATATTCAATCGAGATGGAGATATTGTGCAACCAGTGGAGTATATTGTATGTTGCTGTTAATGAGGAGTTGTACTGCCGCAATGGCTCAATTAGAACAAATAAGCGTAATTAAATGTAATTTACACTCGAAATATTTACGCGGATAATAAAAGACAAAAATATTAGTTTCTGCCCTCACCGCCTTTTTTTTCTGAAAGTTCCTACGGTACCCCATACAGGATGATATTATATTCTCGGCGCGTCCTCTATATCCGAGAAAATCCACGAAACATACTTGGCGAGCTGATCCGAATACAATTGCAAAAAAAAGAAATAATACTTCGATATGGCATTCATATTGTTGGAAATACGTGATTTGTAAGGAAAATCGGGCGATCAGAGCGTTATTTTGAAACTCCTTTGTAATTTCCAAGGTATAACTTTCCTTCAAAGAGATTGGACGTTCTTCCACTCTTGATTAGAACAAACAAAAAAAATTATTCAATCGACTAATTTTTCATCCCAACATTATCTTTGAGTTTAAAGTATCTTTCGAATATATGCATCACTTAAGCAACAATTTTGGGATTGAAGTAAGTAACCATATTTTGCCATCGAAATCCGCAATTTAGAAAAAAAAAAAAAAAAAAAAAGGTCAAAACGGTTGACCTCGATTCTCGCACAAGGGTAAATTTTATGTCATTTCGATGACCAATCGATTCCAAAGCCAACAGAAGCGTAAAAAAAAGTTTCCACTCCCTTGAAGGATTTTTTCATAAATTCGTCCAGAACATACATATACTTTTCCGTTGGGCATTTGACGCCTCTCGGACACGCTGTACACGCAACAAATTGGAAAAAGAAAAAACAAAAGGGTCCACGGCGTCACGATTCGTTTAATCTTGTTTCAGACTGAGCAGACGCGCAAAGCGGCCGTCCCTCGCGGAGCTGCACGAAGGAAACCCAGCCAAGGTAAGCTCCTCTCTTTGCTCCATCTATTTTTTGTTTTTGTTTTTTTTTCTCTCACCTCCCTCCCCCTTTCCATTTATCCCCGTGCACCCAAATGCACGCGCATAAACACGTTGTTTACCCACACGCATCGGACAATTTATATCGTGTACGAGCGGCAAAGGATATAAAGTCACCCCCCGATCGATAATCCATCCACACCCGCGGGCTCTCTCGGGTACACGAGTATATGTGTATATATATATATATATATACATGTGCCACGCAGCTGGGGAGAAAAGACGAGTGTACAAATGTATAGGTGGTGGTAAGGGTGCGAGGGACCGACGCGACCAGTTGGCGACGGACGCCGAGAGTCCTCTTCTTCTTCTCTCCTCGTGTACTTACTTTACCCACGCTTATACCTATATCCTCGCCATACTACCCTCTTTGGCTTCAATTTATTGTTTATTTCACTTACCGGGCACTCTCTCTTCTCCTTCTTCTTTTACACACGCGTCTCCCTCCCTCCCTTTCTTTTTTCGCGAATGCACATAATATAAGGCCGGTATTAAAAGAGACGCGACTCCATACGTCCCCCGCTGACTCTCTCCGTGTCTGTGCACGCGAATATATATACCTTATGGGATACCTATACAAAGGAAGTTGTTGAACTCGTGAAAATTATCGCGGAGTTTTGGCCTTTCTTTCAGTTTTGACCACCCCCATACGAGCCAATACACGGTCAAACTCTGACGCAACGCGAAAATGCAACGTGTACCGTATGACCGTCTGTCCGCGGAACGAGCTTGCGTTAGCAATTAGCGTCCCCGACGACGCATATGTTCTATGGATCGAGCAAAACGAGGGGTGGGGAAGAATCGAGCTATCCGCTAAACGTTTCGTTTCGAGAGACAAAGAAATACATCGTCGTGTGCACAATAATGCAATTGGTACGGATGCCGTTGTTGAAGGTGTGTATATATATATATGTACGTGCCGATGGATACCGGATCGAACCGGCCGTTTGCTTATATATATATATGTTTACTCTCTGCTCCTTTTTTTACCTCCTCGCAGCTTCTTCGGCCCGATGATCCGCGAGTCGGTTTTTAACGGGTGTCTGGCAACGATTGAGAAAATTGCGAGCGCCTATACCCCCCTCTTGCGGTTCGCGTCTCGGATTACGTGACCCGGGGAGGCTAGGCAAGTGCGCTTGGCTCGTTTTCTCCTTCCTTTCGGGCTCTGTGCACTACAACTCTACTTACCTCCAATCAGTCTCGATGCCGATGCAATTATATCCCCCCCCCCCCCAAGGATTTTGTATACACATGTACTCCAATGTGCTCCACAACCGTTATTTTGTGCTATTTAAATATCCGTCGTTAAAAAGAAAAAGAAACCGATCCGGTGGATCCTTAAATCGACTTCCATCGCGATCGATCGGCTTGTGTACAGTACGCGGAATCGAAGGGGCGAAAATCGGAGCGAGTTATCGCCCGGGAAATGACGAATCCAATCCCCCGATACTTTTGCCCGGAGCCCGAGCACGTATCCCGGCTCCGCGGAGCCGTATAAAGAAAGAGAAATGTTTTTACTCGCCGGCCACTTATAGCGCGTCATTGGGCGTCAGATATGCGAGTCTCATCTCGGAGGGGGGCTATTTTTTTTTGGTGCCGTGAAAATCAGATTTATTCTCTCGAGCTTCCCTAATGGACACGTCTCCTCCTCTTCGATTCCGTCTTTCGTGATGCAACTTTTTTTTCCACAACTCGATGTTTACGCGGGTACAGGAAGGCGAACGAAGGCCGTCGATTTAGGCAGCCACGCGGGTTTTCCCTGCGCATACAACGGGACGATCGGTTTATCGAGTGAAATTTCCTTTATTCTCGCACGAGGCTGGGGCTCTTCGATACACTCTCCCAAAGGGGGCCGAGAGAGAGGAAAAAAAAGCCATGTCACTGCCCTCTCGGCCGCGATGAAAGGGGGAAAAAAAAAGCCTTGGACGTTTTTTTTTTTTGCTTGCGAACACCCGAAAGCTTCATCGGCGCGAGATGGCACGGAATTAGAAATCGAGGGGAAAAGCTATCCACGCGCGTCCTGTGGGCCAGGAGGAATAAAAGATCGGAGCGGAGGGTGATTCAAAATTCATTGGAATGAAAATGTTTTTTTTTTTTTGTTCTCTCCGTCTTTTCGGAATTTTTTGTCTCTCTAATTATAGCTTCGGGAGAGGTGGGGAGGAAGACCAATGGCGTAACGAGCACAGGGGCGTCGCGGAGGGCCGCAATTTTCTTCGAGGACGTCCGAGCTTTACTACCCTCCCCCTCCCCCGCCACACTTTGTCCTTTGGTCACAGGATGCGCGCGAGAGACTGGCGGAGCGAAATGGTTTTTTTTTTCCCCATTGTTAAGTTGACGCACCACAGCTGCGGTGGTAGATTACCTCCGTAAACGAAGGTCGAATCGAAGCTCTGCGACCACGATCTTTTGATTTAACTTTCCCCCCTCCCCCCTACTCGGCTCTTTCCTTAACTAGTTATGCTGGACGGGCTTCTCGTTTGTATCGTTTGCGGTATTGTTTTTGTATGAACTTGTTTCACATTTTTTTTCTTTGTTGTCCTTGAAGACGTGGTGCATATTAACGAGTTACAAGACGTTTCCTTTTGCTATACTTTACGCATTAGTACTTGGGGTAGTTGGGGCGTTGAATTAAAAATATGGAGCGCACAGTGCTCTTTTCTCGATACTTTTATTTGCGATTGAGATTTTGTGCAAAGTGAAGATCGAAGTTTATGATTCACAATACCTATATTTATAATGACGATAGAAACACATTTTTATTTTGTTCACATGATTGTTGGGGTGCGAAAAAATTTTCCATTTATTTTGCGTCAATAAACGAGAGGCTCATCTGATTGTATGGGGTGAATACAAAATCGTGCGTCACGAAATGTGTTTTCAAATGTATGAAAAATCCATCGAAAATCAATATAGGTACGCGCTGCTCGAGCGACGGGGGGAATGAAAAAATACTCTGTACAGCAAAGTTCCCAAGAAAACGTGAAGGCAATATCGCGCAAACTCGCGCCTGATTCGCTCGAAGGGAGAAAAATCTTATGGTTAATAAACTTTTCCTCCTCGTTCGAAATGCCACGGTGTCTTTATTGATTAAGAAAAGAAAGAAAAAAAATTTCCCCGGCCATGGCCCCGGGGCTTCTTTTTATCGGCGTAGAAATGGCGATATTAAATTTATACCGCGCCCGAAACGAAGCCAGAGGGAGTGAGGGAGGAAAAAAAAAAAAAAAAAGTGATACAATAAAAGTTCGGAGTGTATCCTTTCTTTGCGCCGTGTCGTGCGTTGGGTATGTACGTATAGGTGCGTAATTTTACTCCCCATCGACGGCGCGGACACGATAAAGGGACTCGAATGAACCCTGCCAGAGTGCACCGTATACGCTTTTATCGAGAGACCCGCCACCGATCGAGCCAACTCGTCGTTTTGCACTCTTGCACGCCTCCTCTCTCGGAAAAACAACGCTTAGGTACGATACGAAAAAAAAAAAAAAAAAAGTGAAATTTACGCTTCATCCTCGAGTGGAGTTGTTATCGGAGGAGAAAATCTCGGGAATACAGCATGGACACTCTCACGCGAGGAACGAAGGAACCAATACGAGGTCTCCGTTGTTTGGAAACAACAAGGCCCCTCCATTGGCAGGATGTTACACTTCCGGGGCCTAAATATTACGAGCTTATTGGGAGGGTGGTTCCCTTTGAGCACACATGAGCTTGCAAAATTTTTTTTGCCACAACTGTATACACATTTGTGATCGATCGTTGGTTTTTCCCGGGCAAAATCGTCACGGAGGCCCCGCATACCCCGCGCACACGTGATAATTTTAGTCTGATTTTTTGAAGGAAGCGTAGCCGCACGTGTGCAGGTGATCATTTGGATTGGCGTCGATTTGGTATGCACTCGAGACAATTTTCCGGGAGCTCGAGTGTATAATTTCAAGCGGACGCGTTGCAGGGTGTACACGAGTAAACAATTCCACAACCCCCCCCCCTTCCTTGGGTAAACAAAGCACAAAAAAAGTACATAAAAAGAAAGAAAGGAAAAAAAAAAAAAAAAAAAAAAACTAAAATATCAACAGAATCCAATGCACATGGCGAACCTAGAGGCGGGCCACTCGGAGGCGCCGGGTGGCCAAGGTGCCGCAGCGGGTACCCCGAGCCATCACCACGAGGGCATAAAACTCGGGTGGATCCAGGGGGTCCTGATCCCGTGTCTGCTCAACATATGGGGCGTTATGCTGTTCCTGCGGCTCTCCTGGGTCGTCGCCCAAGCCGGCATCATATACTCGTGCATCATAATCGCCATGTCGTACTTTGTCTGCGTCATCACGACTCTCAGCCTATGTGCAATTAGCACTAATGGCGAAGTCAAGGGAGGTACGTATACGTTCCTTTAACTTTGTTGTTTTTTTTTCTTTCTTTTCTTCCTCCTCCTCCTCCTCCTTTTCATCGTCTCTGTAATAAAATTGTGTGGGTGCGGGTGGGTGGGTGGTATACCTACAAGGGAGTGCCATAGCGCGTCTCCTCGGGAGTGTACGTACATCGTGCAGGGTTGTGTTCTACTCACACACGAGTGTAGAAGTAGGACGTGGCATGGTACAACACCAACATCCATGCAGGTATGGTTTTTTTTTGTTGATACCCACGGATACGTATAGATCTGGAAAATTTGTGATGATAGCTAGTGCTGGCCACTGAGGGACGCTTGACGAGCTGCACACGTGTGTGTAATGTACAAGCGAGCCCTGGGAATTGAAATGTATATAACTCAGGGGAAGAAGCTACAGGAAATTGAAAGTATATATATATTTATGTATTAATTTTTATGGGATTCTCGTGTTGGGTATTCATTAAAAAAAAAGAAAAAAATAATAACAACAGGTGTCACATATTTTACACGCAAGTTACGTCTAAATGAATTAGGAGGGAGAATAACAAAAATGAACAATACTACTGGCGTCGCGATCGTGAGAGCCATACTGTCAGTTTCTACGAATTCGAGTATAATCGCATCGCTGTACAAGTTAAGGTTGGAAAAAAAAAACAAACAAAAAAAAAAAAAATGTATAACCAGTTCCATTGTTATCGATGAATCTTTAATCGCATACGAGTGCATAATTGTCGAACCCCACCCAAACGGAAGTACTTGTTCGTTGGGGCATTCATAACCTTAGAGAGTTAAGAAAACAGAATAGAAAAAAGGAATTAATTTTCCAGGGGGCATATACTTCATAATATCCCGGTCTTTGGGGCCCGAGTTCGGGGCCTCGGTCGGCATCGTCTTTGCCTTCGCCAACGCCGTGTCCGCGTCGATGAACACCATCGGTTTCTGCGACTCGCTCAACACCCTCCTGAAAGACAACGATCTCAAGATCATCGACAACGCCCAGATGGACGTGAGGATCGTGGGCACCGTGGCCATCATCGTCATGATAATGGTATGCGCCGTGGGCATGGAGTGGGAATCAAAGGTGAGCCAACACCCCTTTGCGGATGATTTTATTCTTTAAGCTTTCGTTTGTCCGCTTGGAAACTACGTACTTATTATTTGATAGCGAATTGAAGGTATATATATACGCGTCATTGTTTGCAGGCCCAAAACTTCCTGATCGCCGTGATCGTCGGTGCTATCTTCGACTTCCTCATCGGCGCCCTCATCGGGCCAACCAATTTGGAGCAGAGAGCCGAGGGCTTCGTTGGATTTTCGAGTAGGCAGCTGAAAAAAAAAAAAAACCTCACCTTATACGATATGTATCCCACTACACGTTAAACGGGTCGAAATTTTTCAGCTGCGACGTTCATGAACAACTCGTTCCCGGATTATCGCAACTGGGAGGGCGTGAATCACAATTTTTTCTCGGTGTTTGCGATATTCTTCCCTTCGGTGACGGGGATCCAGGCGGGAGCCAACATTTCCGGGGACCTGAAGGACCCGGCGAGCAGCATACCCATCGGCACCCTCCTTTCCCTCCTCATCTCGATGATCAGCTACGTGACCTTCGTCTTGGTTGCCGGGGGCGCTGGTCTACGGGATACCAACCACAAGGTCGTCAACGGTACCATCGTCGAGTGCTTGGCGGGCGAGTGCACCAGCGGACTGCACACCAGCTACAAGGTTCGCGGAGAGCTATATACATACAACGCGTTGGGCAATAAAAAAAAAAAAATGCAAACGAAGCCCAACCGCTAACATATACACGTCACGCAGATGATGCAGCTCATGTCGTACTGGGGCCCGTTTATCTACGCGGGCTGCTTCGCCGCTACGCTCTCGACGGCCCTCACGAACCTCCTGTCGGTGCCGCGGCTCATTCAAGCCCTGGGCGAGGACCGCATCTACCCGGGCCTGATATTCTTCAGCAAGGGCTACGGCAAGAACAACGAGCCCTACCGCGGCTACGTGCTCACCTTCGTCGTTGCCGGCGTCTTTTTGCTCATCGGTAATTCACCCTACAACTATACATACTTGTACACACAACTTGAATCTCTCGCTCCGTTTGTCTTTTATTTTATTTTATTTTATTTTTATTTTTTTTTTTTTCGTACTTACATTACAATATAATATTATATACTTACGCATCTAAATAATAATTCGAAAGATGAAAAGTGCACTCGCTGGATTACGCCGTAATATTTGCACGTAAAGTGTCTCACGGGCGCACGACGCAATAATAATCCAGCTGCACACGCGAGGGGACGCTGAAAAACTACCGGCACGTGCGCGCGTCCAACTCGTGTGTGTATTATACCTGTCAGTGTAATAACATATACGCGGGCGCGTGCCGGTGGGTTATTTACCCCGAGTGGAATTTTTTTTTTTTTTTTTTTTTTTTCCCTTTTGTTTCAACCCCTAGATATGTATGTGTACGTGACGAGTCCGTCGAGACGCATGATATAACACACACGTTTTTGCGTTTGCAGCCGACCTGAACGCAGTGGCGCCTCTCATCTCGAATTTCTACCTCGCCTCGTACGCACTCATCAACTTTTGCACATTCCACGCGGCGCTTGTTCGACCCCTGGGCTGGCGGCCGACGTTCAAGGTAATACGCCTCCGTGTGCCTTTATTGCGTTATACGTATATGTGTATATATGTATATGCGAGTACAGAGTAGAGGGAAGAGAAATATGATAAGCAGGAAGAGCGAAAATATATACATTATTGGCGCTTCTCGGTGAAACGAAGCGGAGGGAGGGCTCCACTCTCTCAGAGCTTGCGCGTGTGTATATCTGCAACGTACGAACCGAGGGATACGCGCATGGGGGAAGATTGATGTTTCTTTTTTCTTTGTCTACGCTTGAAGAAGTTATCAAGTGGTTGTTTTTTTTTTTTTTTTTTTTCTCTGTACGTTTCATTGTTTTGTCAAACGACACAGTGTATGATGATTGTCAACGATCGTTACCGATTTTTTTTTTTTTTTTTTTTTTTTTCCTTGTTCATTCATTTTTATATTTATGTGATCTCGGTCTTGCGAGTCAAACGTCGATTTCCACGAGCAAATTGATTATAATTGCTCGAAACTAAAACATATGAAACCGATAAATATGGCATATTGTAATAAAAAATACACACGCGTTCGGATTTGCAGTACTACAACACGTGGCTCTCGCTGCTCGGATTCATAGCATGCGTGGCAATAATGTTCCTGATCGATTGGTCCACGTCCCTCGTCACTTTCGTCATCATCTTCGCCCTGTACCTTATCGTCGTCTACCGCAAACCAGACGTCAACTGGGGCAGTAGCACCCAAGCGCAGACCTACAAAACGGCCCTCACCATCGCCTACAGGTGACACTCATTGTTTTTCCGACTCATCGATTTAACATTCAATCTCGACTTTTTCTCATCCATTGCCATGGGAGATAAAAGGATGACACATATTGGCTTGCTGTGAAAAAAAAAAAAAAATTAAATAAATAAATGTTGGATTTCCAGGTTGAACTCGATAGACGACCACGTCAAGAACTACTGTCCCCAAATCTTGGCTCTCTCGGGTACGCCAAACGCGAGGCCCGCTCTCGTGCACCTGGCCAATCTCATCACGAAGAACAACTCGCTGCTGATTTGCGGCGAAATATACCCGGTAAGTGGGACTTCGAACCCAACGACGAGCTTTAATTGCAAAGCTAAAAAAGCACGCATCCTAATTGAGCAAAATTTTCTCGCAGACGCGAATGTCGTACCGCGTGCGCTCGGCCCACCTGCGCAACGGGTACACTTGGCTGCAGCGTCATCGCATCAAGTCGTTTTATCACGTGGTGGAAGAATTGAGCCTGGAAAAAGGCGCCTCGGCCATGATGCAGACCTCCGGGGTCGGCAAGTTGGCACCCAACGTCGTACTCATGGGCTACAAGACGCACTGGAACAGCTGCAGCTACAAGGAGCTCCAGGAGTACTTTAACGTGCTACAGTGAGTCGTGAATTTTTCTTCTTCTTCTTCTTCTTCTTATGTTTATATGTGCAACAGTAATAATATACTTTACCTATGAAGCAAAAAGAAAAATCAATTTTTATGCAGCGAGTTGGCATTTGCATTTTTTCATGTCAAGTAGAACAAGTCCGCGTATGGTCAGACACGGCTCAAGTAGTACACGTACTTTGGTCAGATACATTTCGCCCCTATTCGTTTATACCTTATTTTGTGATCCCATTCGATAGAAAACAATCTAAAACTAACGACCGACAACAGCGTATCGAAATCGTGGGTAAAAATCTCAATTTGATCGCAGCAACGCGTTCGATCACCGACTGGCGGTGGCTATTTTACGCATCGCCGATGGCCTCGACTGTTCGAATGCAAACGGCAACCTCGACGACGACCAACAGATCATCCAGAGCAACTACGACCTCGCGGGTAGTACTCTCATGCACGCCGACAGCGACTTGTCGATGAGCGGCAGCGGCATCACCCGCGTACAAAGCGTACCGACCATTGGTGAGACACTACAAGTGGTTTTTTTTTTTTCAGATAACGTATTGTTTTAAATAACAATAACGTTTGTTTATCTTGCAATCACTTTCGGTTATTCGCTGAAACGCTCAAAATTTGACGCGGCGTTTTGGTTCAAGAACAACCAATTGTAGATGAACCCTAATGAAAACGCGGGCCGCCGCCGCCCGGTGTGTTTCAGGTACGCATTTCGTTCCTCCGGACGCGACGACACCGATGCGGGATTCCCCGACGCACTGGAACGCGCGGGAACATTTGAAAAACAAAAAGCGCCACAACGCCGAAAAAATGCTGATGTGGGTACAACGTTGTTCGTTACATCGTAATTTGGTAATTGTTGACGCGAGTATAACGTGAACATTTTTTATTTTTCAGGAACAACAAACAAAACGGTTTGACTGTTATACCCGAGTACCTGACGATATTCCAGAAGAAACACAAAACTGGTATCATCGACGTTTGGTGGTTGTACGACGATGGAGGTACGTGATTTTCGTGCACCCTTTTTGTCCGACGAACCACTATATTATGTTATGTTATAGGCTTGACCATACTTTTGCCGTACATTATCAGCACGAGGTCGAATTGGGAGCACTGCAAGATGAGGATTTTCGCTCTTTCGAATAACAAACAGGACATTGTCGCACAGGAGAAAGAGTAAGCCATTGAAAAAATTTCAATCATCCTCACTATTGCCTTTGCTTAGGTAACCGTTTTTTTTTCGCCCAATTTGACAATCGCATGCGTCGTTTTGTATTTTAGGATGGCAGAGATCATAACAAAGTTTCGTATAAAATACACCAGTTTGAAAATGGTCGATGACATAAGCGTACAGCCGCAGCAAGAAACGCAAAAGTTCTTCGACAGGATCATATCGGAATTCAGGAAAAACGAAGCCAACGAAAGTTCCGGTAAATTGCCCAACATAAATATAAGAACTTTCTTTTGTTTGTTTTTTTTCAATTACTTTGCTATTCTACAATACATCAAGTGTCATGCGCGATAGTACGGATGATACTTTATAAATTAATTGTACACGTGTGGATACAAGTTCAACAAGTTTGAAAATAGCAAAGTAGGTGGTTGGAAAAAAAGGATCAATCCCAATATCGTTTAATAATCAAGTGATACAAAGAAACAATTGTCAATAACGTTTGTCTCGCCTGCACAGAATGCTTTGTGACGGACGAGGAGCTTCAAAACCTGCGTGAGAAAACGTTCCGTCAACTGAGGCTCAGAGAACTGCTTCTGGAACACTCGAGCCAGTCGACTTTGGTCTTCATGTAAGTATGCCCCGCCGTGAAAGCCCAAGCACGCACATATACATTATACGTGACGATAATGTCCCTTGGTCCGCAGGTCGTTGCCGATGCCGAGGAAGGGCGCGGTCTCGGCGCCTCTGTACATGGCGTGGTTGGAGGCCCTCACGCGAGACATGCCACCCACGCTGCTCGTACGGGGCAATCACTCGTCGGTGCTCACCTTCTACTCGTAGTACTTGGCAGTCGCTGTTACTTACTACGTCACTTTCACTCTTGCTCTCACCCTCCGATATGTTCAACTCCCCTTCCTGGTATCTGCGTTCACGTTGACACACCTACTACGCTCGCCACGGGCGATTATACTTGTTTGAACTCTCGTTTTTTTTTTTTTTTTTTTTTTTTTTTTTTTTTTTTTTTTTTTTTAACAACAACTTGAGTTGCAGGCAGGTACATCTTACTCAACTACCGAGGCGAATAGCTGTAATTTTTTTTTTTTATTGAATCCATTTGCATGACGTATAGAGAAGAAAAAATACGAATAAGAGTCGCGCGAATGACGTGATACATGTGCGTAAGGCGCGCGAGAGATATTATACTTATTACGGTGTGTTTGCGAGTGACCATGGGGATGTAAGTGTGCGATGGCTTTCGATGATTTGTTCAAAGTTTTTTAAATATGGCCTATACGTTTTATAGTTTGAAGTTTTTCAGAAGACGCTCGAGCGCATTGTTTATTTAGTTTTAGACTAGAAAAATCAAAATTAGCATTAGGGTTGGGTTTGTTGAAAGCACCACTAATTTACACCAACTTGGGTTCGCACGTTCACAGTCGTCGTGAAACAACATCCATGTACTGGTCGAACGGAATATAATATATAAATATAAGATGTAGGCATGAACAGAGAAAGAAGAACACAATACAGTTCCAAAAAACCAAATAGATAAGATAAGTAATATTTTTATGCAAGGATTAGTAGTACGAGACATATTTTGTGCAACCAAATACTCATATTTTATCCGTGTCGAGGGAAAAGGAAAACAAAAAATTAATGAAACTATTGACATATATATATATGATACATAGTTTGTATACATAATAATATACACGTGAAGGTAGTGCTACTTAAGTAAATAAGACACGCAAAAAACTACTATTATTAGTCGTGAGTTGCTTTTATAAAGTAACTATTCGCGAAATAAGTAAAAGGTTCCCTTTCAATTTTTCAACTACTTTTACGACTTATAGTGAACGACGTGTGCGTACCTTCGTTTGAACAATTTTGTACTTCAATCATATTTCGTGCAATTACTTAAAATTGTAAGACACCCATTTACGTGAGTTACCGTACTCGTTACTCTTGTCTTATGATGTACCATATATTTGATAAATTAAAAGTCAAACAATCTTTTTCAGTTCCATAACATATAGTTGTTTTAAATATTACGTAAAAGTTGATTATTTTTTTATTGGAAACGAATTCAAGCACCAATTGAACATTATTGATGTAATAAGTAGTACATTAGACTAGCGACAAATTTTACGTCGAGACTGGATATTACAATTATTCACAAACTGAATTACTATAGTGTGACGTTTAAATGTGTAAGTGCACGCATGAATTAGGTATGTAACTGCCGAGAAAAACAAATGGCAAGGTGAGTAGACCCAGTGCAGTATACTTAGTGGAAGACACTGCGTTAATTTTACCTCGGAAGAAGTATTTTTTAGTAAATGAAAGAAAAAGAAACCAAAAATAATAATTATAATAATAATAAGCGTATGCCATATATAAGAGATGTAAGTGATGTTTAAAGAATAATATATATTAATGATACTGAAAACTGTTGATTGCGTGGATGAATCTGTCTTTGTCCCGTGACACATGAAAGTTTAGCAGTATTTTATTCGTTATTTTTGTAGATTTGTTATCCGTAAGGTTTCACTGTTCATAGTGCTTAACATGATCATAGAAAAAAAAAAAAAAAAAAAATTATGTATTATCATGAATGGAGAGCTTTTAAAATGTAAAATTTTATCATTTTTTCAATTGAATTCATATGATGTGATGGAGCGAACGATTTTCATGAATCGCTTTTTTCAGTAACACTTTTTTTTTTTTTTTTTAATTGAATACAACAATATTCATAGCTGATGATTTTATACTTGAATTGTAATTAATGTAAGCATCGACATGTATCTATATATCAAGGAAATATTTGTTAGTTACATTATTATCAAGTGCCAAGAAGTGATCGGAAAATAAAAATTAGTCGCTCATAAAAATGTGAGTAGATTTGTTTGTTTATTTGTTTATTTATTTACCAATGACTCCTTACAACTTACGAAAATAGCATATATTATATTAAAAAAAATCTATTTTGTCCCAATAACTTGCAATGGTAAAATACATATACTTTAAATTACCACACTATTAGTAAAAATCGAGTTTGCGGTATCCCACCCTATAGTGGCTGCTTCATCGTATAGATCATCAAGTGCACCGAATACGGTCCATTTAAAACCCTCATCGAAAAATTATTTTCTTCGTTATCCAAAAAGGACGCAAAAAAGCCAAAGATAAAAAAAGGTGGCTGCTTGACGAAAGACGTCGTAAAAATCATTGAAGTAATTAGTAAAATACAGGAACCTTTGGACTTGATAGGACCAACAGGAATATTCTACACAGTTGTTGTTTAGTACAACTATGTATGATGAATAATATCATTATGCATGTGGGGGCAAGGGTAAAAAAATCGATTTTTCCTCGACAAAAAAAATGAGAAAACGTGAGGAGTTAAAACATCAAAATAAGACTGTATAAAGACACGACTGTGGAAAATGGGACGCACAAGAGGTCTATTATACGCGATGAACAAAAAACGAAAGTAGGAGGTTCAATTTACCAATTGCATTTTTAATCGCTACATAAACGCGGTGTTGAATATGTATCCTTAGAAAAGGTGCCGTTGATGCCGGCATTCTAGCACCAGGTAGTATCCCGCGTCACAAAATTTTTATAAAAAAAAAAGAATAATTTTTCGTACTGTTACTACTCTAAATACGCTTTGTAAATTAATTTCCGCAGTATGGTGAAAATTAACGATAACTGACTATTGACGTATTGTTTTGTTCAGTGAAGATTATATTATAAAAATCTATTTGGTTCCAACAACTTGTAACATTAAAATATGTAAACTTTAATATATATCACAATAATAAAATTAAAATTAATTAATTTAAATAAAAAAACAACAACAACAACCAACATCACTGGAAAACACTTCCCAACAAATCACATACTCAAACACTTGTCTCGAAAAATTTAGCAAACGTATTTGCCACTTGATCCAGCATATCGCTAGCGAGCATACCTCGATGTTTCATAGAAAAGGCACTCCTGTTCGTTTCGCGTACAAGCCGACATGCCGCGTAACAGGCAATCATCGATGCTCGAGGTGGTTGCATGCTCCCCAACGACCAGGTGGTAAAGACACAGAGCGAACCTGCCAACAGATCACCCTGACCGCCACAGCGTCGTCCTGAGCCTCGTGCTGCGCAAGATATTGTTGGCGTGTCCACTTGGCCGTCACCGATTTTGTCCTCTGCTCCCTTGGCCACAACAATTACTTGAGTGCCAATGGCTTTGGCTGTAAATTAATCATGCGGAATGTTTTGTCAGTAGTACTTAATAATAATAAGAAAGTATATATAAACCATATATCAAGTTGACAAAAAGAATGTAACAGTCACCTAATTCTTTGATAAGTGCATCGGAAGCAACAGGTGTTGGCTGCACTGTCTTGTGCAGAAATGCTTGGACTAGTCTTGTGAATTCCATGGCATTGGGAGTGAGCACGAGACCAGGATAATTCTTAATTAAACTTGTATTCTGACCAACCAAGAACAAACCATCTGCATCAATAACCAGAGGCTTTGAAAGACGAAAGCAGGTTTTGATTAGTTTAGAAACATTTTCAAAAACTTTTGGGTCCCTTCCGAGTCCTGGTCCAATCACCAGAACGTGTAATCTGTCCAGCCATGGTTCGATGTGACTCAAGGCATTGTCATTGTCCAAAACTGGATGGACAATGAGCTCTGGGCTAAAGGATTTTATGGGTATGCTAGCCTCTTTGCAGCAAAATATATGCACCAAGTCAGCCCCAGTCCTAAGTGCACTCATCCCAGCAAAGTACGGAGCACCAGAGTACTCCAACGAGCCCCCAACAATGCCAATTCTTCCATCCTGGCCTTTATGCTTTGCACTGGATAAGCTTGGTACTAGCTGCCTAGCAGCTTCAAGGAGACTGTCTTCTGGATCCACCGACATTTTTCGATAATAGTTTTTAAGAAGCAGATTTTTACTTCTACAAATCAATTGTTTGCTTAATAACATCTGTTATTTTTAACACATAAAATTTATAATTCGTTTCTTTACCTATCTATAAAAACACTCTTGGGTCACTGAAATTTATTAGCAAATCGAATTTTGAGTCGCTGGAGCACTATTTTTGTACCAATACAAAGACATATGTCCTCAAATGCAAGCTAAATGTAAATAAATTCTTCATTCTCTAAAAAAAACAGTACGAACTGACCGGCCAAGAGGTTATGTAAGTATGTCGCTCGTAAAGAGCGTATCTCCGATAAATTTGATTTTTTTATCATCACAATTTTTAGTTGAAGCAATTTTATTAAAATTTATTAATAACTAGAAAAAGCTTATGGTTAATAAACTTTATAACGCATGATTAGAGAAGTACACAATCAGCTGTTGAGCACACAATTGGGAAAAAAAACTGTCTATTCATGTTCTGTGACTTCTGTTTGTATACAACATACTATAGGTAGACAGGTAAATGAATACAATTAAATAAAAAGGAAAACTTAACTGAAATGCTTATAAAAAGCTACATCAAATAATAATTTGAATTAAACAAAAATTTTAGATTAAATGCATTTGTTTAAAATAACACATAAATCTTTATTAAAATATAAACACAAAAATTGTAAAATTTTATTTTATGTATAAATGTGTGTTGGAAATGTAAATGTTAGTTTATGTATTCTTTTTAAGTTTATATTTTATGCAATAATCAATTCTTACACTGTTTTGCTAAAAATTACAAAATGGCAGCAATTGATGAGTTTTATTATTGAATGCTGTTTAAAAAGCAGTCGTTTCCCAGTGAAATGCAGTTTCTACAAAAATCATCATAAAATAGAAAAATACCATCAAAAAACGTGACTCCTTAAATAGTATAACTCTCTGCCAGCTTTTTTCTACTTTATAATATTTTCACGAGAAATTGCATCGAGGAAAAAAAACTACTGCTATTGCCTATCAGTCGTTTTTTTCATAATTGAAATAACAATCCATCACTGTTAAGTATACGATTTTAAAACTTTCAATGCTACGTGTTTCATCAAACATGAAACAAGACCTCAGCCAGAGTTCATGATTTCTCAACAGATTGGTTTTTCAAATATACTGTTTAAGAAGTTATCATTTCCGCATACTTGGCCGCTAGCTGGTCAAACTCAATCTCTTTTTGAAGATAATCTTTAACAAAAGGATGCTCGGTATGAGCGTCTTTTAATTGAGTCAAGTATCTATTAGCTTCCTGAGATTTTCCCATGTGCTGTGACAGAACGATCATATTGATCAATGTATCTGGATTATTACTGTCTTTTTCTAATGACTCTTGAAGCACAGACTCAGCATCATCATACTTCTGCTGAAGGAGCAAGCTGGTGGCCTTGCCATTGAGTAACATTGTTGTGCTAGAATACTTATCAATCATTTCCTGTTGAAAAAATTTACAAGTGAAATAGAAATTCTTAAATACAGTAATGTCTTCATTAGATATTTTTACCTGAAAAATGTAAAAAGCCTCCTGGTACTTATCATTTCCAGTAGCCAAATTTACCCATGCCAATGCAAGCTGAGTCAAAGTGGCGTCGTCGTCTCTCTCCTGCATCGTTTTCACCTCCTTTGCAGCTAAATCAACACGATCCATTTTCAAATAGATCTGCACGCTCAAAGCTGAGCATTCTAAATTATCTGCTTTGTAAATAACCCTGAGAGCTGATTCTAAATTGTCTTCGTGGTAATAAATCGTTGCTGCAACTATCATGAAGTTGTAAGTCTTAGGTTGAACCTCAGCCTGTTCATCAATTTTAGCCACTATTTCTTTTCTGCGTTGTGGATAAGCAAAGTACTCTGCCAACAGCTTCAGTGGTTGCAGTTCCTCTTGAGAAGAATCGTTGATTTCGTCCAATACTATTCTAAATTTTCGTTGAGCTATGTATGCTCTGTACATAAAGACATCTTTTTCCAGCTCCAGCTCTGGGGATGACACCTAAAAGGAATAATTATGTTTTTGAAAAATGCATTCAATTAATAATAAATACTACTTTTTAGAGGAAATAGATATCCTAGTTTCTTTAATGATGTCTTATATCAAATTGAATAGACAGTATTTGAAGGAATCCAAAAAAGACGAACTCTAATTAAAAATGATGTAACTTTAACAATTTACATATACTTATAAAAAAATGATAGAATTGCAATAGACTTCAACATCTTAATTACAAATTTGACTATTCAGATTTTAATTTCACTGTAACGATGATAAAAAAATATTTTGGACACTGAACACCCCAAGCGTCAATCAAAACAATACAAAGAACGGAAAATAAAAAACAACACATGTGTCAAAAGCGGTGTGTTTGGTAACCAAACTTTACTCCAAGTTAATTTGAAACGTCTGTTTGTTTTTATTCTCAAAGAAATTTAAAAACAACTAATCCACCTTAATCCTTTGCGCCTCGTTAATGCATTGTTGAAAGTTATGGATGTAAAAGTTGTTTCTGACATCGAAAAGCTCGTCAACATCATTATTGGGCTGCTGACGTGCCATTTTGATGCCCGACCCGCAACTAAACTGACTGCATGCAGGCGCTGGCGTTCGTCTGCAATGTGGTCTCTGCAATGAAGTGAACAACCTGACGTGAGATTATATATACATATATGTGCACACCACACCACATACTTAGATTTAGTTTTATATTATAAATTGTGGTAATACTAGTAATTAATTTGTATAAAAACTTTCTATTGATAGTTGTTGAAATGAAATTAGTTTAATGTATACTTAATCAACTTGGTAAAACAAATTTCTTTTACATTTAAGGTTTGGGAAGTTTTAAAGAGTCAAGTCACGTTATTTTTGATAAAATTTAATGTTTCTTTTTTTCTTAATAAACTTTCAATTTAAAAATGATCGATCTATAAAAATGACGCTTTGTTGTAAAAATAAATTAAATTAACAATGCAGGTAAAAAATATTCAGACACCAAGTTTTTCAGATTATTTTTTTCTTCCTCTTCAGTTTAAATTGGATAAAAATTAATCCACGTCTTCAGGTCGAACAGGATGTTCTAATGGAATCACAGATTTTCTTTTTACATCTTTCGACAGCGCTTTTCTCATATCTGTAAGTGTTAAAAGTAATTAAAATAATGAATTTACAATATATGTGACAGTAATGGAAACACTTACCATAGGCATCTTCATCGGGATCACCACTGTAATATTCTAAAACAGTCCGATAAACTATATACCCTAATTGTTGGTACATTTTTATTGCCACCTTGTTACTTACTCTTACAAACAGATCTACAAAATAAGCTTGTTTCCTACAAAAAAAAAAAAAAAAAAAAAAAAAATGTTTAATGATTGTAATGCTATTCTTTCAATCACTTGAGATTACTTTAAATTATGATTTACTTTTCAGAAACGTCTTCTAAAAATTTCATAAGAGCAGCAGCAAGGCCCAGTCTTCTATAATCAGGAGAAACAGTGAGAGCTGTAACATGTCCATGCCAATCTTCACCAACTCCCTCTGCCTTTCCCATTACTGTAATAAATAAACAAAATTGTAAATACTTGTTTTAATAAAAGTATTTCATATATATGTTTAAAAACTTACTGTATCCCATAATCTCTCCACTTGGTGATTCTGCAACTTGAAAATATTCAGGCCAGTGAGCCAAATACTGCATATAAAATGATAACCCATACTATAATTAAGCTGTGTTAAAGAAAAATAATTTTTAAAAAATTCCAGTAAGTTGTAACATCCAATCACTCTAATTAAAATTATTAATTAACATCCTCTAGTCAATTAGCCAATGAATACAAAAGGATACAGTTTCAGTAAGAGGGTCTAGGTTTCTAAAACAGACAAAAATATGGACATAAATAATTAAATGTCATGATGTATACAAAAAATGTAGATACATTAAACAATGGCTACAAGGTAATGAAGAAAGACGTCTTGGTTGTTTAAAACGTACTTACACGTTATTAAATCTAAACAAATCGTCGCAGGTGAACGGCCTTAAAGTAGACATAATTGATTATTTGGCGCAAAAATATTTTTTTGCTATGAGGAACTTTGAAATTTTGGTATTGTTGCCTTAAAAAAGGAGCAGCATCCGTCAGTGGTGCACATACATGAATGTGTAAGTAGCGTCGTTGTCCTTTTTAAAAGAAAGAGAAGTTGCTGCTTACGTATGCATGTACACATGTATGCGAAACGTCGACGACGACTCGTCTTGAAATGGAATTTTATAATAATCACGTTCGCGAATCGCGTGTCATGTATTTGTATACTTGTATATTGTATTGAAATCGAAAAGGTATACAGAATACGCGCGTGCGCACTGCGCACACAATAATTTGCATTTCTGCTGCAGTAGTTTGTTAAAGTTAAAGGTTATGTAAGTTACGTGTTTTGTGTGCTGTGCCCATAGATATATCTCTATGGTTGTGAATGTGCTTATATATATATTTATTTTTTAAATCAGAATTAGTGCCATCTAGCGTGCTACTTTTTAACTCGGAATCTCCCACGCTAGATGGCGCTGATTCAGAGACCGTTCTCGGCGCGCATCGTCCATTCGTCCACGTTTTAACGTTTACAGTAGGTTCGTTCAAGCCCCCCCTTGGTTCGGTTCGGTTCGGTACGGTCGGTTCTGGGACCAAAAAACATTAAAAAAAACACGCGTTCACGAGAGGTTGGTTCTAGAACCGACCGCTTCGGAACTTTTAATTGGTTCTGGAACCAACCCTCGTGAACGCGTGTTTTTTTTTATGTTTTTTAGTCCCAGAACCGACCGAACCGATCCGAACCGAACCAAGGGCTTGAACGAACCTAATTTTGGAGTGTTTAAAATATTACAGTGTAGGATTTTAAAAGTAATTGACAAAGAAAAGTTTGGTAAAGGCTTCTGTGGTTATTACGCAAATGTGGATTCAAAATTCAGCTGTACGAAGCTAGAGATTGTTAAAAACGTTATAGAAATATTAGATACGCAGGTATAAAAATACTCTGTGTGTGTTAATCAAGGAATATCTATGCTGTCGAGTGTTGCGTCCCGGTATGTGTCCATTGTTTACATCTTGACGTTTTGTAATTTTTTATTCTGTTCCAAATTTACTTATCTGTTTGTACAATTTCATCTTTGGAGTAAAATATCACTATCACATGGCTTTACTTCAAAATTTTTAGTTAACGAAAAAATCAAATAACTGTTAATATAAATCAATTTGATTAGAACAACCTTAAAGATGGTAAATTATATGAATTCTAGGAGAAGTAAACAAAGTGAATTGCTGTTTATCTGATTATGGCCGACTTGGCTGACTTCAAGTTTTGGCTAAAGCAACTTGAATGTCCAGAATCACTCATTTCAGACTATGTTATACATACGTATGTGAATGTGAAAACTTTCCTAAGTATACCTTGAATTTTGAGATTAAGTGTTTTTATTATACCGTTTAATTTACAGACTACAGAAAGGTGTCTTTGGTTTGATTTGGGAAGATACACCTAAAGTTATCAGGGCACATTCTGAAGTCTCTGATGCCAGAAAAAATATTTTACTGTATAAGTTAAAACATGAGCCAAAAGATGCTTTGATACAGAGCATAAAAAGTACTGTTAAACTGAAAGATGAGAAAAAAAGGCTTGATGCTAAAATCAAAGATGCAGAGGAAAGGTGGAAGAGGCAAGAATTTTCATGCAGAAAAAAAGGTTAGACAAAATTAATATAATTTTAATACTACAGAGCATAAGACAATTGAAAATAAAATTTTTATCCATTTTAGTGAATCTGCTAGAGAAGAAAAAGGCAGATAAAAGAACGATATTATTGAAGAAAGAAACTCTCAAAATAAAACATGAACAGATGCAAGTTCAAATTAGTAACTGTGCAAAAATGCAGGAGATATGCAACCACTTGATGCCGCCATCTGTAGAAGAAATTTCTTCTGCAACAATAACTGACTGTCTTTCATTAGTTAGCAATTATTTTAGTGGACCAAGCAAAAGACAAGTTTGTACATCTGATAAATATTAACATGGAAACATACTGTTTAGTTATATGATAATCCATTGTTGTTACAGACTTGGAACAGAATAGCAGAACTTCTTACACCTATAAAAATACCAGTTCTGTGGGATGCATTACTGAAAGCTAGATTGCACTATACTAATCTTCTTATTCATTTAGATACAGAAGAATTCGATGAAAACACAAATAATACAAGAGCCAATATAGATATTTGTATATCAAAACTTTGTAACGAACATCTTGAAAACGTAGCTATGCGCATTATACATAATGCAAGGACGAAAAATAGTGAAGAAACAATTATGTTTTACATTAAAAAAATTGAAGTAAGTTTAGATGTTTTTATAGACTTATATTTATCAATTAAAAAAAATTTTTCGTCCGAGTTGCAACATAAGTTAAAAAAAAATTAATTATGTTTAGGATATTATTGAAAAGCAAAGGCCTGACTTGAATGATTGGTTGCCATTAGCTTTAGAAGTTCGAAAATTAGAAGTTTTGCAGAGCGAACTGCAAAAAGAAGTAGAAAAATTGGAGGAACAACTTCCTATAGATACTGTGATTGAAGATGACGTTTTAGAACAGCTAACTTCTCAAATAAAAACTATGGATAGCAAGACGGTAAATAAACTTATTAATGAAGAATCACTTAATAATTTTTCCAAGAAGTTGACTTTTTTATACTTAAATTTGTAGGCAGACTGTGTTCAAGAAATAAAAATCGCATTTGGACGTTTAAAATCATCAGGGCTATTGATTACAAAAACCAGAGAATGCCTGTCTAGTGAATTAGAAAAACTGCAACTGGTTCTAACGAGCGAAGAGAGCAATTGGTCGGACATAGATCTAAGCTCTGAGCTTGTTGTCTTCAACAATGAAATTGACGTTAACGCGTTAAGGAAAATCATACTCAAAAGTGGTAAAGGTGCTTATAAACACTTGCGAACGTGCCTCAATCAAGCCCCTATCGTCGTTGAAATTAAAAATCGAAACGACAGCATAACAAATTTACCGATACTGCGAGTACCGATTTATTATCTGGTAGATCTATATAAGACGTTTATTGTAAATGTGACTTTGGGGCGACAAATTAATGAAGAAAATCTGGATGTACAAGACGATGATTCTTTAGAGCAGTTAAAAAATAGACCATTAACAGATATTTGTTCATCTAGTATACTGCAGTTACTCAGATTAACGGATGAGACGAACCAGCGAACGCTGCAACACGTCGATGAATTTGAACACATTTTAAGGACTTGGTAAGCACTTTAGATAATATAAATACATAACTTATCTGTGGAGCTCGTACAAATGTTTTTGTTCCCCAGGTCTAACCAAACAGTGCAGGAAACAGTTACAAGAATTTTCGGTGACCAAGTCGTATTTGGATATAAATTAGAAGAGTGGCAAAGGCGCTTTAATTCACTCGTGTATGTACTACAAAAGTCGAATATAAACTTCGTGTGACAAAGGCCAATTTTCGTTTCCTCATATTTTAGTAAGAGCAAGTTAATGCTGCATCAGATGTAAATATACGTTCTACTAGTATTAAGAGATTTTTATATTCTATATAATAATTTCACTTATGATATTTCTGATATCAGTATAGGCAACGATGTTTGTCTATCAAAAGTAGTTAAAGGTTATGTAAGTTACGTGTTTTGTGTGCTGTGCCCATAGATATATCTCTATGGTTGTGAATGTGCTTATATATATATATATATATTTATTTTTTAAATCAGAATTAGTGCCATCTAGCGTGCTACTTTTTAACTCGGAATCTCCCACGCTAGATGGCGCTGATTCAGAGACCGTTCTCGGCGCGCATCGTCCATTCGTCCACGTTTTAACGTTTACAGTAGGTTCGTTCAAGCCCCCCCTTGGTTCNTTACATTTTTCATCACTTTTATTAATTGATTTAATATCGTTTTATTACAAATCATCTTTATACAAAATTTGTCGTACTTTTTCTTACACTTGGAAAAAAATTCAAAAATGTTTAAAAAAACGCTTCTCCAAAGCTAGTACATTTTACAAAAATAAAATGCTTTAGATATAAAAAAAATAGTTAACTCTAAATAGTATGCTTCTGTTTATCGTTGTCTTGTTGGAAAAATTATATTATACAAGAAAACTTGATTACTACTGACGAGAAGTAAAAAATCAAGTTGAATTAACATATGAAATCTATTGCAGCTTTTACTTATCATTTCTTACATCAATTTACATATTACTACAATACTTTAATATTTACACGAGAAGCTTTCAGTATATCTACAAAAATAGAATACATTAAAAACTTATAAACACCAGTCGCGCGGGAAAAAAAAATTAAAATTTATTTAGAGTAAAACTAAGATACATGCGAATGATGCTCAAAATTAAGTCACATTTTTACTACACAGTTCAATGCTGCGTTGTCATGAACTGACTAAAAAAAAAAAGTCAAAAATTGTTTTTATCAAGGCACATGTAAAATCAAACTTTCTCTTCAGCAAGCACTTCTAGCCTGTGAATAATTTTGACCATATCACAGTCCCTGGCGAGTTTCACGTACTTGACATTCCTAACTACAACCAAATTAATCCAAAGAGGTAGTAGCTTGCAGAGCAGCTTAAGATGCTCCTCAAGCTTATTGGTTGTTAGCTTCGTTCTGAACGAGTCGTCGAGTTTTTGTACAACCTGTTCAAGCGGCAGCACATTCTTCTTTTCGGTCACGAAAATATTGCGCACAATCTTTGCCATACTGGGCAAGCGAGCATGCATCGCCGCTTCTTTGTGCGCATCCTCCGATCTGGTCATCAGTTCCAAAGCTTTGGCTGCTTGCTTCGCACGTATTTTCTCCAAAAGAGATGCTGGTATACCACTGAGCATTGAATTGCTTAAGTCTTTAGGCTGTGAGTTTGGAGTTGCAGGTGGTGTATCTACAACTGAGCTATTCAACTTTAGTTGTGAATCCCCGATTGACGTTTTTACATCTGTAACTGATAAGAAATAAAATTTCTAATTAATATTAAGCTATTTCTAAAGTAATTTTTATTGAGTTTATTGCAAGTAAAAAGTTACCTGTAGGAGAACTGACTTCCGTTTTGTTCGTGACAAGAATTTCAAGTGCTCTCTGCATACGTGAATTTTTATTAAACATATTATTGGCAGCTTCAAGTACGCCCCTGGCTGAGTTAAATTTATCCATAATTGGTTCTTTGGGCAGATCTGCTTTATCAATGTCCTTACAACTTTCCAAATCGAACGCTGGATGCCATTTCGTAATTTTGTCTCTGGAAACGAGCAATGGCACTTCTAGGCTTTGTAAATATTCTTCATGCTCATCCTTAACTTTTTCCAACAGTAATTTCATAAATATGTGCCTGCGTTTGAGCAAAATTTGTGGATTCATGTTCGTGTCATTGGCAGATTTAATGACATCCTCTTCGTTTGGAGTATTTCTGCCGCTGCTTTTCTTCTCCTGTTGAATATTCGGTGTAATGACAAGCTCATATTTTTCCGAGTTCGATGTGCCAAAACTGCGCATTTTTTCATAACGAAAACTAAAAGCATCTGGCCAAACAGTCTTGATCTGTGCTACGTTATCGAGCGTGAAATTACGACGCATTAGCTCTTGTACAGCAGGTTTAAGTTTTTTAAATGTTATCATTTCCCGGCGATTGTACAGCATTGCCGATATAGTATCGATACTGCGGAAAATCTCCAGCAGAAATCGGTACTTGTAAGGGAGAGGCAGCTCTTTGCCTTCAGCTATTGAAAGAGACTGGTACCGCTGGTAAGCTGGAGTTTTTGTGGGACTAGCTTTGACAAGACTGGCAGGCTCTTCTTTTGGCTCAAAGAGCAATCGACGCACTGGACTGGCCATGGGCGAAAGAGCCGATATCGTTTTTTGTGGGCTGAATAATTTATTGGGCGACGAAAAGGCTTTTTGTGGACTCACTGGTATCTCGATCTCGATGTGATCAAATTTCTTAATTCTCACACGCTCTTCATCTTTTGTCATCTCCTCCTTTTTCTTTTTGTGTGCCTCCTCTAAGCTTTCCAGCTTCTTTTCTGAATTCTGGAACTGAGCAATTTTCGCCCTTAACTCTTTCAATCTGGCACTTACGAGGACTTTTCCTTTTATTTCATCATATGACAACTCTCTCACAGAGTTCTTTGTCGGTGTCTTGAATATTGTAGGCTCTTTTGTTGGAGTCTTGAAAATTGCGGGCTCCTTTGTCGGAGTTTTACATGCCTCGGCCTCTTGCAAATTTTTTTCCTCTGTCTGGGTTGTCTGTGTTGCCTTTCCTGACACTTTTTGATGTGTTTTTGATGACTTGGAAGCATGGGTCTTAACAGATTTTTTTGGGCTTAAATTACCTAACTTTGCAAACACACAGGTTCCATCGCTAGGTTCTTTAAGTTTAAACATACTGTCTATATTTTGCTGTCTGACGTCCTCATTTGCAGATGGTTTCTTGGATTTAGTTGTCCTTGTTTTTGAGAGTCTTCCAGGCTTGGAACTCAAGTCTGATAATAAGTTTCTGGCTACTAGGTCTTTCTTAAAATCCATTTTTGTCTAAAAAAGAAAAAAGAAAAGAGAAATAATTTTAACTTAACATTTGGTTGCAAAAAAAAAAGAAAGGGGTTTGGAAATTTCAAATTAAAATTATATAATTATTTAAGTGTTCTACTTATACATCATCTTTTAATAAAAAATAATCAAATACTTTTGATAATCTTGTGGTAACATCAATTATTATCAGTCAAGTTAATGTGATGTCCTATTTTCGCAAGAACGGCGTGGGAAATGATTTTGTGTACTCATCGTAATATGCACTGTTTACAAGGGACTTTTCTTCATTGTCCTCTTTACTAACCAATTCTTATGAATTTGGTGACAGTGAACTAAATACCATCGTCATACTTGTGAAATAAAATTTCTCCTTATAAAACGTAAATTGCATAATGCAATCTGACATTCAAACCAAGCTAAGTATCTAATTTTCATTGAAATATGTTTTATTTTTTATTTCTTTTAAAAATGATATGCTAAGCATTTAAACTTATGATTTTCAAAGATGTTACAACAATAGATACACGTCATCAAGTTTTCATGAAACAAATAGCTGCACTGCAAATCATTTTAATACGAATGTCAGGCTACAGAAAGATATTTATAGGATATGTTGTTTTTAGTCAGCTAGAACACAATAGTGCATAAAGTCAAGAAATCCATTAAAATTTTTTTAATCCAAGAGATTCGCGAATTGTGATTTGATTGGATGATTTTAATGGAAGTTAAATCAAATACTCCTTCAACTTTGTCTCCGATGTGCAGTGAAACGTTCCTCCTTTGTTAAACAACCGCCTCATTAATTTTCAACTTGTACAAATAAGAAATCAAGGTAGTAAGTAGAGGGTTAAGCATCAGGAAGCCAACGCATGTTTAAAAAACAAATTTCTAAGATCAACAACCAAGCAATAATATACGTATCTCATACAGACTATAATTATCTCCAAAATTTATATTAATAATAACAAAACATCGCAGTTAAAGAGACGCCACTGCAGTTGTGACTCGACATATAATAACAAGCAGATGAGGGAGTCGTTCTTCCTAAAGGCGCAGCCATTGCGGGCCGTAAGAAGGGAGGGGCGATGAAGTCCTTTTAAAAAGGGGAGAAACAAAGGGATACAATGACAATGCAACTCATGCACATAGATACCTTGCCGGATTCCGCCTTGACTGGCTTCTCGCTGGGTAAGATGAGACTCGGCAAGGCTTGCTGGCGCTGTTCATCATCCCCGAGGAGGAGTACCTTGGCCTTGTTCTTGAGCTCCTCTTGGGCGGGCCTCTTCCTCGAGGTGAAGTACGCGGCAACCGATGGCTGCGACATCGTGGGTGTGCAGCTCTTGGCCCTGGGCCTCACTAATCCCCACACGGTCTCGTATGGAAGAGCAAAAGAAACAATTCTTTATCTCTCGTTTCCGATAAATTATATTGTCAATCACTTCAATAATGGAAACAGCCACAAGAACTTTAAATACGTGGCTTCCTTAACAATTTCGAATTTCACGTGGAGGTCACTAATCAAGGACAAACGGCAACGGTCACCCACATACCTATCGCCAGAACGCAATTGTGGTGAGTTATCTGCGTGTAGTCGAAAAGGAGCAACGGCTGAAAGCGCGCGTAATTTTCTGTGTTGTCGCAACGGTTTCCCGCGCAGAGAACTGCGCAATTGACGAAAGAACGATGCGCGATGGCCGCGCGCACCGCTGTGGTGGCGCAATTATTGCCAAGTGTCGCCACGCTGTGGCAAACTTTTGTACTTTTATTAGTGGCGGGAATTTTGAACCTCATAATTCGTTCATTATGAACAAGGCGAAAAGGATTGTACTACTGTATTGTACTGTATTAGGTTTGTTACAATCATTAGATTTTTATACGATTCAAATCGAAAATTAATTTTCTAATCAGACACTACAGTAATACTCGAAAAAAAAAAATTTTACTTCTGACGTGAAAAACTCACAAGAAATGGTTAATGATATAATATACATACAAGTGTACAGATGCGTCATGCATACTCAACTATTTTTTTAATTTTTCGTGCTCAGCTCTCTGGCGCTTGCTGAATATTGATTTTCGAACGTTGTCTAGATCCAGTTCTGTTCTACTTAAAAAGTCTACATTTATTCGAGTATCGTCATTCAAAATGATCGTATCGAAGCATACGATTTTGCATGTTTTTTACGATTTTTTACTTTACCTCAAAAAAAATTTTATTGAAAATTTTTATAATGTATACATTAAATCTCGAAAGAGTTGAACAAAGGTGATTGAACAGCGTCTTGTTAATCGGTGCTTCGTTTTATCAGTTGCCGTATTTTCACAAAAAAAAACTCTCTATCGTGCGTTTACACATGATTCACTGCATACCAGGAAAAAGAGTCCGACATGATTAACGAAAGTATTCATTTATTGACCAAGTGTAATCACATTTTTTCCTCGTTTCTCGTCACCTAATAATAGGTATAAAAGCCGAAAAATCGTGTTTGATTCATCTTTTTTTTTTGTTTCAAAGTTCTCATCATGAAATCCGTTACTTTGTTTCTTCTATTTTTTTTAGCTCTGATGTGTTTCCTCGTACACCCAACTTCTTCTCAAGTCCCAGTCCTCAATTTTTGTAAGATAATCAATGTGATTGAAGAAAATTTTTCAACGTAAATTTATAATTACATTTTTTCCAGGGTGTACGAAAGAAAAATGCGACCGTATATGCGTTCAACTAGGGGAAACCAGTGGTCACTGCAACCCTAAAAACTTAAGGGAGTGCTTGTGTGACATGGGTAATCTAAATCATTGAAATATTGTAATTTTTCAATCATGTTCACAAAAGCTTGATGCAAGTATAAAGAATAAAAAATGATCGAGTAAATGAAACACTTGGAAGAATTTATTATTCATCCTCGCAAGTTGAAACAAATAATCACTTTTATGAATATTAAATATTTTCATAATTCTCCAAGCGTCCAATTATGTAAATAACTCTCCGATATTTTCCTCATTCATACCCGTCTACGCAGCAATTACATCCTCCACAATGCGATTGTATAGCCGCGTTAAAACTAAAAAATCCGTCGTCCTCAAATCACACTGCAAGTTGAGTCTTTCCTCGAAACACGTATAGTCCGTTTTTGAATTTGATTTTGCTCCTCTATTTCGCTTTAATCATGAAAAAAACAGAGATGGTTTTCCTGCTTTTGATAGTTGGAATTTGTTTTGTGGCAAGCCAAGTTTCGGATCAGAAGCAATTAAAGCCGATTAATCGCTGTAAGTACATAAACTTAATTACTTGTAAGACAATTTATCATTTGCGAAACCTTGATATTCGTTTTTAAAACATTGCAAGAGACGAGTAGGAGGAAGAGGAGGGAAAAAATCCTCCCTGTTGAACAATAACAAATTTCAATCAGTGCCTGCAGCGGAAATAACTAGTATTCTGAATTATATAACTTAAAAAATAAGCTTATAACTTATTGTATGACCTTGAAAACATTGAAATCTTTTACGCTGCCCCGGACTGATGTTATATTTCTAGAGTAGGAAGTAAAAATTAGAATGTATTGGATCTTGCATGAATTGTTGAGCCAAAGGTGAGGGTGATGGACTAAAATTTGGGTCTTCTCAGCTCCGATTTTTTTTTTTTTTTTTTTTTTTTTTTTACCGACTTGACCAGACGTATAGTACCCGCAAAAGTACTTTCGGTCGAGATGGGCAAAAATTAAAATGAATTATTTTGTATTAATAAAAAAAAAAATTGGAAACCTTAAAATTATAACTCTTGAATTCTTTTTAGGGTGTCGTCAACCTGGATGCAATGACGAAATTTGTGCAAATCGAGGCGGTGGCTATTGCGACCCGAAAAATTTACGATTGTGCAAATGTTATAAACCAGAAGCAGAGTTGGAATCTTAAACAAATCAATGAAGAATTTGTATTTAAAGTTGTGTAAAAGTCACTCTAAAGTGGTTTCAAATTTGTAAAGAAATTACACGTTCATGTTATATTAAATAAAAACTATGAAAATAAAGATTCACAGACAGCTATAAAATAAAAAGTTATTAAACATTTTTGTATGCATGTAATTTTTACAATCTAATATGGACAATATATAATTTAGTTTCAACATATTTTTATTTAAGGCTTGTGCAAATACAGTAGATGAGCTCAATATTTTATACACTGATTACTAATACTGAAAAGAGTGTGGAACGTATTCATTTACCCTATAATATTGGTTAAAAAAATTAATTTCCTAAAATCAAACGAATTATACGTAATGGAAAATAAATAAAATAAAAAAAACAAAAAACGAAATGTACTCATCACTCTAACCGATTAAATTTATGTCAATTACATTGATCCAGGAAAGGAAATTCCGGGCCCCGATCAGACTGATGTCATACATATCCAGTACGAATCATACAATATAAATAAAATATGTAACATACAGATACTTTACAGAATTATTTTGTACTCATTTCGAAAGTTGTATTATATTAATTCGACGATTATTGAGATGATCATATTTTCTAACAATAGGAAATTTTATAAAGTATCAAATGAGATGAGTTTTAAATATTTTTACAATTAAATTATTGTGGCACATTGAGAAAGAAGTATAATCGAGTAGAAATATTTAAAAATAATTTAACAAAACATTATAAAAACATAGCATTCAATATGTGATAGATTTATTTCTTATAAATGTATACAATTTCCAAAATTTTAGTAACAACAATTTTAACCATATTTTCATAAAGTTTAATTTTTAATATTATTCATGCTTAAAGAAAACTAACCCATTTAAACTTTACACTGTTATCCTGAAATCATTTTCAACAGGTATTACAGTTTTAGGATAATATCTAATACATTATACTCTCATCGACTCTAATGTCATATTCATGTATAGTTATTTACGTAACAAGTGCGGAAAAGACGATTTCCCGCACGAGTGGTGATTGACTCACACGAGTGCCGTCCACGAGTGCGGGAAATCGTCCCGCACGAGTTGCGTACAAGTTTTTTCGCAATGTGTGAGGAAAATAGGTACAAAATAGGTTTGAATTTTTATTTCCAGTGTGTAGCAAAAACCTTTGCCGCACACCTTTGTCGCACACTGTGTGGGAAAATCGATTTTCCACGCTAATACCAGTGCGGAAAACATCCATTTTCCGCACACTATTGCGAAATAGTAGTTTTCCTACGAGTTTGAAAAGTCTTTGTTTGCGAACCGAGAGGTTTGCGGCCCGAGCCGAAGGCAAGGGACGTAACGAGGTTCATAAAGGAGACTTTTCGAACGAGTATCGGAAAACTGCTTTTTTGCCCGAGGAAGTACCAGCCTCCCAAAATCACCCGAGGGCGGAAAAATATTAATTTTTTAAACTCTTTTGAAGTATCGAAAAAATACTGTTAAGCTATGTAAACATTTTATGTATATCTATATATTCTGATGAAATCATTTATTTGTTATTCACAATGACGTACGGTAATATACGTGATCATGTGTATCCGATATATTTTTAGACAATTGCTTCATTTTCAAACACATCCAAGTAAAACAAAAACATTATAAAATAACATTAGTATATGTAATGTATAATTCAGTCTGTGTCGAGGTCTTACATTTTTCTTTTTGTGTGTCCCACAACTTACAAAGCTTNATTCTATTTTTTTTAGCTAAAACTTATTTGATGCAAAGTTGTTTGATGAACTAGAATCAAGAATAAAAATGAAAAAATTTGACTTATCATTCATAAAAGCATTGCATGTTCTTTACAAAATTTTTGGATGCGTGACTATAAATTTTAACGAAACAACAATTAAAAATAATATTTTTAAACGCTGGTCATTTACGTACTCACACCGTGGATCCGTGTATAGTATATTTTTACTAAAGTTTTTCGTTACAATTCAATACTTTTACCTACGAGATTTTTTTGAGAATTACAATAACTTTAAATATTCATATAGAGAAATTTACGAACGCATTAATGATATATTAGTTTCTGGGGCTGTCAATTTTATTCTAATTCAAAACATTGTAAAACAAAAAAAAGCTATAATAATTTTCACTAAAATAAATTTAGTGAAAGAAGTGCTCGGAGACTTGAAAAAAAATACGATTGTTAGTAAATGGATATTGAGAGAAATTAAAAAAGTATACATTTTGCGTTTTGCATATGCTGTACAAGTGATTACATATATAAGAAATATTTACAATTTTATTGAAAAAAATACTATTTATCTTACATAAAAACAATTTCTTTCTCCATATAATTGCAAGTGTAAGTATAAAATTAAGTATAAAACTTACATTTTTTAATAAATCACCTAACTGTTTCATCTTTCTTACAGCTTAAAACTTATTTTGTGGAAAGATGTTGGATAAATTGGAGTCAATAATAAAAATGAAAAAATTTGACTTATCATTCATAAAAGCAGTATACTTTTTTTACAGAATTTTTGGATGTATTGCTATAAATTTTAACGAAATAGCAATTAAATATAATATTTTTAAACGCTGGTCATTCACGTACTCAATTCGTGGGGTTTTGTATAGTATTTTTTTACTCATATCCTTCATTACGATTCAATACTATTACTTGAGAGATTTTGTTGACAATTACGGTAAACTTAAACATTCGTATGNTTGCGGCCCGAGCCGAAGGCAAGGGACGTAACGAGGTTCATAAAGGAGACTTTTCGAACGAGTATCGGAAAACTGCTTTTTTGCCCGAGGAAGTACCAGCCTCCCAAAATCACCCGAGGGCGGAAAAATATTAATTTTTTAAACTCTTTTGAAGTATCGAAAAAATACTGTTAAGCTATGTAAACATTTTATGTATATCTATATATTCTGATGAAATCATTTATTTGTTATTCACAATGACGTACGGTAATATACGTGATCATGTGTATCCGATATATTTTTAGACAATTGCTTCATTTTCAAACACATCCAAGTAAAACAAAAACATTATAAAATAACATTAGTATATGTAATGTATAATTCAGTCTGTGTCGAGGTCTTACATTTTTCTTTTTGTGTGTCCCACAACTTACAAAGCTTTTAAGAAATCTGTCATCCCTATGTCACGTGCAAAAAAACGAAAATGGACGCGCTGCCCCTGTGGCCTAATGGATAAGGCATCGGTCTCCTAAACCGGGGATTGTGGGTTCGAGTCCCACCAGGGGTACATCTGAGTCATTTTGTTATCTATGGCATACATTTTTGACAACGTAAAAATAATTTAAATTGTGTTGAACGTAGTCTTGTTCGACTCTTTTCCCTTAATACTTTATTACTTAATAAGTAATACTTGGAGCTGCATCTATGGTGTTTCGAAAGAGTTCGTCGTTGGACGTAATGTTTGATCGATTATTTTATATCTAATTAACCTTATACGTATATGCAATCATTACTTTTTTTTCTCTTTAATTGCCAGAGAAACTTTCTGCGTCATAACAATTTATTAATAAATAATAACTCAACTATTTAGCTGTCTAGTTATCAATGATTGACAATACTTTTCGATGAAATAGATACATGTGTAAGTAGAAAACATTTGGCCTTTTCTCATAAAACCTGGCCTTAAAACATAATGGAATTTATCTTGAAAACGTAATGTTTTGTCTTTTCAGCATTACATTTTAATATTCGCTTCTACTGCTCAATATATTTAAATATGTCTTATTTTAATCAACATGGCAGTAATCAATATAAAACGCGGAAAATTATTCGGATCACTTTTTACAGGATCACTATTTGTGGGTCGTACACGATCTCAGAAGCTACAATTTCATGAAAATTTCTTACATACTGTAAAAATTATTTTATGGTTTCAATCATCTAAAAAGGTATCACGAAAATTTATGTAATCAACTTCACGACAATTTTATGGATTAGACGTTGATAGTGTGTATATATATATATACACGTTGAGAGCAAAATAATGGTAAACAAACCCTCATTTCACTAAGTTACGTAGAAAAAATGCAAAGGAAAAAAAGTATGAATAAAGGAAAAAAAGAAATTTTCTGGAGACAGAAATTGTAATTACATATCTAACATTAGAAAACATTATAGAAATAAGAATAATATTAATCTTCATATTGATCGTTTCAAGCCTATCACTCATGCATTTTGGTAGATTAATTCTATGTACAGAACCTAGATGTTCTTTATATCCTTATTTCTCGAAGTTATGAGGACCTTGCGCATGGTGATGTGTGATAAGCAAAAATCGATAAACATTTTTATATTGAAAACATGTTAATAGATAAATAATATTTGGCATTCATTTCGGATATTATTTCAGAACCAGTAGGTTTCAAGGCTTGAAATGAGTCAGAAGATACATACAATAATTCCATATACTATATAAGAAATATTTACAATTTTATTGAAAAAAATACTATTTATCTTACATAAAAACAATTTCTTTCTCCATATAATTGCAAGTGTAAGTATAAAATTAAGTATAAAACTTACATTTTTTAATAAATCACCTAACTGTTTCATCTTTCTTACAGCTTAAAACTTATTTTGTGGAAAGATGTTGGATAAATTGGAGTCAATAATAAAAATGAAAAAATTTGACTTATCATTCATAAAAGCAGTATACTTTTTTTACAGAATTTTTGGATGTATTGCTATAAATTTTAACGAAATAGCAATTAAAAATAATATTTTTAAACGCTGGTCATTCACGTACTCAATTCGTGGGGTTTTGTATAGTATTTTTTTACTCATATCCTTCATTACGATTCAATACTATTACTTGAGAGATTTTGTTGACAATTACGGTAAACTTAAACATTCGTATGAAGAATTTTATGCATTTATTCGTGATGTATCAGTTTCTTTGGCAGCCAACTTTACTTTAGTTCAAAACATTGTAAGACAAAAAAAAGTGGTTAAATTATTTACTAAAATTAATTCAGTTAAAGAAATGCTCGATGGAATGAGAAAAAATGATAGTGATAGTAAATGGATAACAAAAGTAATTAAAAAACTAAATTTTTTGCGTTTTGCATATGTATTGCAAGTGACTACATCACTTTTATATTTTTATTATTATTATGATTCAAGAAAACCAATATTTTTAGCAATCAAAACGTATTTTTTTCTCATAATAGATGCTACGATGGTGCAGTATATTTTTATTATGGTCATTATTAAAGTGTTGTTCAAAATGATAAATTATTATTTAAAAAGTGTTTTTGATAATTTTGCTGATGTGAAAAGTATTAATCGTATCAATGAACGAGAGAAATCGGTAACGATTTTAAAATTGCGGGAAACGCATATTTCGTTAGTTGAGGTATCAGAAAGTGTATCTGATTTTTATTCCTTTTCAATATTTTTATTTATCGTTGTTTACTTTGTATCATTCGTGGATCATTGTTATCGTCTTATTAACGACGATTCATCTGTAAAGTTAAATTCAATAATATACGCTGTAGGTTTCTTTGATGATATATTCGTGTTTATTTTATTAACTAAGACAGTAACTTCAGCAATAAAGGAGGTAATATGATAGATTTTTAATTAGTTGAATTATTAACTTTGTAACAAAAAACTATATTTAATTACACAGAGTAAAAAGGTCAATTCTACCTTGATAAATTGTTTGATACATATCGATAATATGAAGTACAAAACTATTACAAGACAAGTAAATATTCGAAACTGATGTTTTTATTGTGAATAATCTTATTTAATTAAAAATATTTTTTTCAGCTATTATTACTTGCGCATCAAAGCATGAGTACAGAAGTTAAATTTGAAGCTTTCCATGTTTTTCCTATAAATGAATCACTGCTTGTGTCGGTTAGTATTTTTTCTTTATAATATCAGGATATTTCTTAAACAAAAGAAAATACAAATCATGTAAGAAACAAACTTTTCCATGTGAGTAAACTAAAATTTTACGTCAAATTTNCATTAAAAAAAAATAAATAAATAAACCAAAAGTATGAACTGTGCCACAATGATTACCTGTAATAGTAGGCCTCTTTAGTCTTTGGAGTACAGTGAGGGTATGTTTCATATGCTTTTACCAGTTCATCGTCTTTAACTTTATCCTGTACGATTTCATCAATGATTTGAAACAGAGATTTTTTAACGGACGTAACGCCATCGCTAAATGCTTCTTTACCCCTCCATAAAATGTTTGACGGTAGCAAGCCAGTTTTATCAAATGCAGATCTAAGTAAATGTTTTTCAACGCCGTCTACAATAAAATATAATGAGACAATGAATTAAATACAATAGGGTTTACTTCAGTTTGACAATTAAATTGTAGTTACTTTGTGGTTGTCTCGCGGTTGAAGGAAGAGAAAGATAGTAGTTGGTAAATTGCAAATCCAAAAATGGAACTCTTAGTTCCAAGCTAAAGGCACTGGTTGTTCTGTCAGCACGTAGGCCGTCATACAGATAAATATCTTTTAATAGTCTCAGAGACTCGATATGAGCGTCGTAGGCACTTGGTGCATCTCTAAAGTAAATGTAACCTTGTGCAAGTTCATCAGCACCTTCTCCACTAAATATCACTGTGGATTCGGTGTTTTTTTTAATGTACCTCGAGATTAAGTACATTCTAGAAAAAAAAGTGCGCTTGTTAATAAATTGTCTTATATGCTAAAACATTTGTTAGTTAAGTTACTGCACCCAATGGAAGCTCTGATTGTAGTGATGTCAAAAGTCTCAAGTTGATAAATAACTTTGTCAAGAACTTCCAAAATATCCTGTTGTGTTATGATTATTTCGTGGTGATCTGTGCCGATGTGTGCAGCAACCTAAATATTTTATATTACCAGTCTACATACTTAACTTTGTCGTTTAACAAAATAAAACATTTCAAATAAAAATTTAAAAACCTGTCTGGCTGCCAAGATATCTGGACTGCCTTCCATGCCAATTGAGAAGCTTTGAATTTTATATGAAAATTTGCGCTCTTTCGAATATTTGACGAGTAGGGCAGCAACCAAACTGGAATCCAGGCCACCTGATAGCAAACAACCTATCCTCCTATCAGCCATCAAACGTTTGTCCACAGCAGCGGAAAATAATTTTCTTACATTTTCGTGAACATTTTCGGAGCTAATTTCTACAAAAATTAAGTACGTGTATTAAAAACTTTTTATTATTATTTTTTTTTTTAAATCCGAAATCTCAAGTATATTAAATTACCATTCCAAGGAACAAAAGGAGTGAAACTGGGCTTCTGGCCTGGCTCATGGTACTTTTCTTTCCTAAAAAGTTTCACGAGACCATTTTCTAAAATATCATACTCTTCGTATGTGCCTGGAGGAAACGGTTCCACAAAATCATCGTTACTCAATAATTTAGCAATACCCACTAGAGCCTACAATTTTACATACATTTAAAGAAAAACAATGTTATAAAATTGTTTAGAAAATAAAATCTTTACTAACTTTGCTCTCTGATGACACAGCCAATTGCCCATCAGGAGTAGAAAATCTAAAAAGAGGTCTTACACCATACGGATCTCGGCCAATTAAAATTTTCTTTTTTTCAACGTCCAATAAACAAAATGCAAAAACCCCATCTAAAGATCTACACACGGCATCTGGACCTTTGGTCGCATAAACGTGTAAAAGTACTTCTATGTCACATTTGGTTGAAAATTGAAAGCCATATTCCTCTCCTAACTTAAACAAATCGCGAAGCATGAAATAAATTAATCAACGTCATTTTTAAAGCATTGCTCCAACAGCTGTGAGCAGCTTACTCTTTTACAATTGTAGATTTCTCCATTGCAAAGCAAAAACAGAAGGGGATACTGGTACAGCCTTATGGGCTGCATACCACAGAGGCTATCGACAATGGACAGCCTGTGGAATCCGAGGTAAGCGTTCTATGAAAACAATTAATGGTCAAATAAAAAAGAAAAAAAAAAAAAAAATTATTTTTCAATACATATAACATACCTTTACGCGGCTATCATGTTCGATCTTGAAAGCATCAGGTCCCCTGTGGGATATCTTCGTAAAGTTATCACACACGCACGTCAAAGAATCGTTTTCAAAGCCGAAAAGCGCCCAAAGTCCGCACATATTGTAGTAATAACTTTTTATTTGTCAATGTGGTTTAACTTTAATGCACGTCTCGCTGCACGTGCGCCGAAACCGGTGCTTATATAGGTACTATCAAGCGGAGCGCGTGTAAACTGCAAGAGTGGGTGTATATTGGTATACGTTTTGGGCATATGGTGATCCAGCTGATGCAATATTGCTGCAGATGTTTTGTATTGTCTGGGTGATCGGTATGGGGGAAGATTTAAGGTCTAAAGGGTACTTTGAATCACCTCTTGTCACCTCGAAAACAATTTTGATTTTCAATATACGATTGTTAATATATATAAAGAGGCTCGTTTCGATTTTTACTTGAATTTCAAAGTGTACACCACGTGGGTAGTGACGGTTGTTCTGTTGTTTTCATCTCGCTCTTTTGCTAACTCTCTCGACGTGTACGTTATTTGTATGCACACGGGAACGATTACGTAATCGATAAAGCAGTAAAAAACAGCCGGAAAAAATATTAGTTTATTGTTTATACATGTACTTACTGGGTACTTAAGTATTATTCCAATCATACATTTGTTTATTTTAAGTACCTACTAAGAAGTACTCGCTCATTGTCGAATCGTTTTAGTTTATTTTAACGTAAAAATGAGAAAAATCAATCTAATTTTGCAACAAAGGAGTAAAAAATCGATCGTGATAATATTTTCTTGATAACAAATAATTTCTTCTGTTATACTAACAATAGTTTCAAATACATTTACACAGATTTGGGCCCGGGTACTTGTTCAATTTTTTTTGCAGCTTAACTTTCTGCTAAATCGCAGTACATTATTTATGCTAGAAGAAAATTTTTTTCCAATTACTACTTTTATGATAGAGTTCTAGATAAAATTTTTCGAGCAAAAACGATGTATTACAATTTGAAAGAAAAAAACAATAACCAAAATAAAACAGAGTCAAAGTACTAAAAACAAATAAATCTAAATAAACAAATATTATTATAACAATGTTTTTTACACTTAAAAATTGTCGATATTATTGTCCATGTAAACGTTGTTGTATCAGATTTCTAGTTTTTAAAATTTTTTATTTGTATAAGGTACATGCCAACAATAAGTAATAACATTATTTATCATGTACAACTGTTCTGTGTAATTTTAAAGTGGCTTTTTTAAACATTTATAGGTAAAAATAGAATTATGCAATGCGATATTAAGAAATGATAAGATTTCGTTTGTTGATTATTTTTGACGTGTATTAAATATTTTCAAAAAAATGTATAAATAAAAACATAAACTAATATCATTGTATTTTATTTCTTACTTATTTCATTTTACATTATTTATACAGATACTTTAGTTACCAAAGTTTCAATTAGAAGATCGTAAAAATTGAAACTATCAAAGGGTAAAGTTGAAATTTTTAAAAATCAAGTCAGTTAAAAACGTACGAAATTAAAAAAAACTTGCAGTTATAAGTTTTGATAATATGAAGCTTTCATTGTAAACCGTATTTATAAAAGTTGTACAATAAAATCACAAAAAATTTAGTGTAAACATCTAGTTATTGTAACTTGAATGATACGTGATTCTACGATAGCCACAAATAATTTGCACTGAGGCATTTTTTTCCATAATTTTGAATACTCAAGCGTAATTAACAGAATATCCAGAGGATGCACGCTTTAATTTCAGTAGTCCAATGTATAGTCAGTGGTTATAGCCTCTAGCCATCTATTTAGTCAAATAACTACAGTATCATGCTTTCACACTACTTGATAGGAAGTTTAAATTGTTTATCAAACTGTACAATAACATATTACCATTAAAAACATAGGATGGGAATATTTTTACAGTATTTATTAAAAAACAAATAACGTTAATAAGCGTTAATTACATGACCTTCTTTTCTCTAGTCTTGGTTTTTGTAATGAGAAATAAACCTAGCCGAGGGATCTGATATGTCCTTTACCCACTTAGGCATCCAAAAATATGGAATAAGGTGCTCTGCACAACCTCCGTAAAATGATTCAAAAACTTTTCTGAAATAAATTAAAAAAGTCACTAGTTATTTGTATTGTTGTTTTAACATAAAAGAACACAAAGAATTGTATTTTAAGTTTCGCAACAATTACAGTTAATTTATTTTNATATTGTAAAGTAGTAATTAATGTAATTTAAAAAATCTCGGCGTGTTAATTTAATATGAATTATCCATTGATATTAGTTAAATATATTTTTACTTTTTACTTCTCGCGTTAGCGTTTTTTTCTTATTCAAAGGTAAATGGAATAATTTCGTCATTAATATCTTCTCAGTACACACTCTTGCCACGAGATATCTGAATAGTTTATCATTTAACGTCTACTAATAGATACGTGATAGGTAGTTCACATCTGCACGCGCTGATGCATATAAATCTGATTGGACCCAGGTGACACTAAACCGAGTATTACTTGCACCAGTAATACTATGTTACATGAATTTCGAAATTTTGCGCGTCACCTGATGCGAATGTAAGATTTTCCAGTAAATACGGTTTGATGGTGAATTAAAAAAACGTTTTTTCCATCATCAGCGATATAAGTCAACGCTCCGAAACTTTGTACCGTTAACGACTCTCCCTTATCAGCAACCAGTAAAACGTTCGGAAAATTCACACCGCTATAGCGGCGCTCACATACGCTCACTCGACACCCGTTAAAGGCGTTAAGATAGTTGACAGTATTTTAATTTGAACGTGTACGTACATTAATTATCAAGCTTAATTGCAATAAAAAAAAAAAACATTCCCATAAGCATCTAAATATCACTATGCTCTTTTAAAACTTGTAAAAAGTGAAAAAATTATAAATAATGTACAGGCATAAGAATATTATTGACAAACTTCAAACTTTTTTCAGTTCTTTGCTCCACGTCACTTCTTGATATAAATAAGTGTAATATATGAACTACTTCACAAAATACGCGTTATTTAATGCTCCAGACATTTAAATTATTCATGTATATTGTCAACTTCTATAGTTTCTCAATACACTATTCGAGATGAAATCAAACAATTGTGTTGCGTGTGCGTGAGTTAAAAAAAAATAGTAGTTTGCACACCAGGTGCGAAACTTATTTTTCTGTTTTGGGTGCAATAAACATTCAAGGATAATAATAAAAAAAAAAAAAAAAAACGTGCAAAGTAGAAAAGTTTTATTTTTAACGATATGTAAGGGTTATCGTAGGGAGTCTTTCAAAAAACTTTGGGTTTTTTTTTCTTAAATGATGGTAGAGTTAGAAAAAAAAACGATGAAAAAAAATTCTAAACTTTACTAAAAAAAAATCCTATTTTATACATCGAAGTATATCGCTTTTTTTTTAATGATCCATATCACAATTGATGCAGGTGTATAGGTAAGCAGCGTTTAAGTTAATATACTTACTATCTGTGAAATTGTTATAATGTCGCATGACGCATATATACGTCGCAGAGTCACAGACTCACGGCTCGGAGTCATCACATTTATATATATATATATATACATATATATATATATATGTTGTGTACAGCGTCTGTATAGTCACATGGCCACTGCATGACTGGGTGGTGGCGGCGCGCCTGCTGCCCCGGAGTGCAGTTTTTCGTAAATAAATAAAGTATATATAATAATATAATGACATGTAGATGTATAGGTATATAGTCGACAGAGAGGGAGTACGGAGTAGGTGATCTATAATAAGTGATAGTGATGGTGATAATTTGTCGGCGCACATTGTATATACACACATATTATACAAACGTGTAAAGTTGTGGTAGTCGAGATATACAAACTATAGTGCAAGCGAGACGGAAATACGGAATGCTCACTTATACCTAATTTCTACAGATGTATATACATATATGTAGATATACTTGTATCGTAGAGATGCCTTTGGTCGCTGCGACTGCGTAAGTAGAATCAGTCGGGACAGACGCGGGCTGTTTGTTCTCTCCGCGCTTTGTACACGGACGAACCTGAGGATATAATATACTTTTCGTCCTCGTAGACAGTGACTCCTAGTGCGCGAAGTTATCCCGCGTGTGTAATATTATTGTAATCTCCTGGTGCGCTGAGTGATGTTACTTTATAAGGGCAGATGATAATAATTATATAGTTGGCGATCTTCCTTCATCTCGGAATGTAATTGTATCTCTCTCTCAGCCTACGACAATCACGAGATTCACGAGTGTCAGACTGACAGTGTATTATACTCTCAGTAGTCTTAGTCTAGTATTACGGACACTCATAACTTCACTATACCTACTAGTAATACACGAGACACATCTGCAAGCGTAAATTAATAATCTATACCTACTTACAGACGAAGTGTGTCCGGAGACTCCGGGAGCTATAGGGTGTATCTATATGGTTGCTCTCGGGGGGGATAAGAAAAGAAAGACGAAGAAAGAGCATCAAGTTCGATAACCCGCTCTCTCGCGCGTGAGCGGCTCTCTTTTTCTCTTTCTACTGTAATACTGGTTTTAGTAATTTAGTGTTTCGCCATCGTCAGCGTGCAAGGCAAGCCAGCCTGCAAGCGCTACACATGCACGCTCTCTCTCATCTCAACTTACTGATCTCTGTGCTCCGTTGCTCTGGCTGATGATGGCTGCTACTGCCAGTGCTGCTCCGATGATGCGTGTTTTTTAATTATCTGGCTCATCTCTTCTTCTTTTTATGTTTTGCTCTCTAATTTTCGCCATTCCAATGCGAAAAATTGCGCGGCTGGGAATTACCCCGCAATAAAAAGTAAATTAAACACAACAACTATATCATATAACGAATTAAGACGATGAACGCCCGCGTGTGCATGCTGTGTATGTGTTGTTAATGTGTAATGCAAGAAAAGTGCGCAGGAAGCAACAGTGAATATATTTAATAATACCAACGAGAATAATGACAATTATTGCCATTGATATGGCTTGGCATGTAAATTTGTTCGGGATTTAGCTTGGAACAACTGTATTGAAGTTATTACATTGACTATAGAAAAAAGGAGCGCTCCGAGCTGTTCCAAGCTAAATCCCGAACAAATCTATAATAAAACAACACCAATATATGGTGTGTGATAGGGCGTATAAATATATATACATCACACATGCGCGCGGTGTGTTACGGGGTTCGGCTGCTGCTGTCTGCTGTTGATTGCTGTCTGCAGTGGCTGTCAATTACAATTTTTTAGCGAAGCCTTATTGCACAGCTCAAATACAACGGCGAAAGTTAAACGAACGAAGGGGTTACGTAGTTACGTTGAGAGTATATATATATAAAGTGTCCAAGTGTGTATATGGGTGTACATACATAAATACGTAGTATACGTATACGTACACATAATATACATATACATACACAACATATTTATACTCCGATGCATAGACATCAGACACACGTATAAACGTCATGGCATCAGCTAAATCGACGGCGTCCTTTGGCACCCCGTGCTCCGCGTCACCGCACAACAAAAATAATGGCCATCAGCAGCATAAGCACGCTTCAAAGTCAACGTCGTCCTCGTCGTCGCAGTTCCCGGTTAGCAAGCTCATCCGGGTCGGGTACTATGACCTCGAGATGACGATCGGCAAGGGCAACTTCGCCGTCGTCAAAATGGCCACCCACATCGTAACGAATTCCAAGGTGACGATTATTGTCTTGCTTACATGCATATCATACGTCTACGTCGTCGTTGATGCCCTTCACCCTTTCAGACACGTACCATAAATATATGCACCCTCCAATTTGTTAATCAGTAGTACAATCATACACGCTCATATCCTGTCACAATCGCACCATGTTCTCTCTGATGCTTTATACATTACTTTTATACTTACCCAATATTACCTAGCTGCTCCAACTTCTCTGACGTAGATACAAAAAGTATATACATGACGAACACCCATCTGTATCTTGTGCATGTGTAGGTATATAGGTATGCGTAAAAGTGTATATAAGGATAATATGCACGACCCGAGAGACAGAGAGAGAGAGAGAGAGAGGGAGCAAATAAAACGATTTTAACTATAGGTACAGGGTGTCATTTTTATAGGGGTGTCTAATTATGTATGTACAAATACTATTGTAGAGTGTCCAAGAACAAAAATCCAATTATTTCCCATGCATCCTGATAATGTACCTGCAGCACAAGAGAATTATATTCAATAGCAGGAACAAAGTTCAAGGGTTTCTTTTTTTTATATATATATTATATGATTAAACAAATAATCATTGCCACATAAGAATAATCGTAAGTGTGTGAAAAAACGCATCTCTTATGCTTGTTTGAACTTCTAATACTTTTTATTTCATCTAAAATTGCTTGTGGTAATTTTCTTATGATGTATGTCAATTCTTTATTTTTTTTTTTCTTCTTCTTTGCTTCAGCACACAAGAGAGCTCTCGTTCTAATCAAAAATTCACATACGTGAAACAAGATCATCAGTGCGCGCGAGTATATGAAAAAAAAAAAAAAAAAAAAAAAAAAAAAAAAAAAAAAAAAAAAAAAAAAAAAAAA